ACGAGGTCAATTTAAAAATATACTCGGTGATTGGCAAGAGCTTGATGCTGTACGGGTTGCACCACTGAAAGGCACGCTATTTTCAGAATGGCAATTTGCAGATGATATCAACTTACGTGTACAAACTTTAGCGATTGGAGGTACGGATAAAGCGGCTAAAGACTATGTCAATCCATTAAATGATCGCAGTAGTCGAAAACCCGCAGAGATTAAGGGTTTTGCGATTATGGATGTGATCACCAGTGCAAAAGCAGGTCCAGGCAGATTAGGCTTTGGCGTTTATAATGTATGGAATACAGATTATAAATCAGTATTTAGCCAAGCAGTTGCACCAACCTATGGTGCTATTTCAAGTTTGGCAGCACAAGGCCGTACCTATGGTTTAAGTTATACACTGAAGTATTAATCAAGATAAAGCCTCTTTAAAATTTGAAAGAGGCTTTTTATTGAGCAATATCTAGATGAGATATAAGGAGTAGCGCTTAATCCGATTCAATAAATTTTCCTAATCAGGCCAAGACTGATATTTTAGGAGATTCAAATGAATAAAAATAATTATATTTGGATGATGGCAACGCTGCTCAATGGGATCAGCTTATCCATGATTTTACCTTTACTTGCACCTCTTATTCGTCTATTAAAAATCTCAGAGCTTCAAGCTGGTTTGATGGTCTCTGCCAGCGCATTGCTAATGAGTCTAACTGCAATATGGATTTCTAAAAAAACCAAATTTCAAAATCATTATTATTTATTGAGTATCGGTTTTATTGGAATGAGCATAACTTGGGGACTATTTTCAGGGGTAATAAGTTATGGGCTACTGTATAGCATGCCAATTGGGCTACTTTTCGCTTTATTATTACTTACACGAAGCAGTATTGGCTTTTTTATGGCAATGCCGCAAATCGCATTACAAAGTTATGTGATGACGCGATATTTAGATGAAACAACACGTAGTCAGAAGATGGCAACCTTTGGTGCCTTAAACAGTGGAGGATTAATTTTAGGGCCATTTTTAACCACATTACTCATTATTTGGGGAATATTGATTCCTTTGTGGCTCGCCGTATTGCTTTTGGCTGTCATGAGTATGCTGATTGTAGGTTTATATCAACACAAAGTAGAAAATGCTCAGCAGCAACAAACAACAAGTCATGATCCAAATCATAGGGATTTAATCCATCAGTTAGCTGTAGAAGAGCATGTTCAAGATGCACTTTTACAAAAAGAGATTTCACAGCAAGATTCTAATCATTCGAAATTGGTATGTCTGAGTGAGGATGATCTAAAAAAATCAACGATTTGGTTGATCCTTGGATTTAGTTTATATATTGCGATTATTACCCTGAATTTAACTGCAGGTTTTTATATTCAAGATAAATTTCAATTCAACATTCAGCAAAGTGCCCTCTATTTTTCCCAATGCTTGTTGATTGTGGGGATTGTTTCGGTCTTGATGCAAATTGCGATTTCTAAATGGTTTAAATGGTCTTTAACACAGCTTTTAATGGTCGGATTAAGCACGATGTTGGTTGGGCTGATCTTGTCAATCTATACGCAGCAGATCGTGATTTTTCAGTTGGCTTATGTTTTTTATGGTATCGCTGTGGCATGTTTAATGCCTGCATTTACCACAGGTGCATCACAATCAGTTTCGATAAATTTGCAAACTAAAATTGCTGCTTTATGTACCATGGCACAAGCGCTCAGTTTGATTGTTGCGCCATTAATGAGCACAGGGCTGTACCAACTTAACATTATCTTCCCATATTATTTACTGGTTAGTATTTTCTTAATGCTATCTTTTTATTTTGTTGTTTTTAAATGGAATCAATAGAGGATGGTCATACCAGTGTCATGTTCTTTGATTAGTTTGCCTGCATTAAATCAAATATGAAATTTCAATGATGAAACCATTTAAAATTAAACATTCGCTAATCATTTTTTTTGCTTCAGGACTATTTTTAACAGCCTGCAATAATGATCATGATGATAATTCAGCTGTTGTAGCGCCACCTAAAGCTGATGCATCCCTATATTTACAGACCAAACAACCGTATCAACCGCAACAGAAATTAAGCAGCTATGAAGCAATGCCTACAGGTTATCGCCCAGTTTTTACAGAATTAGTTGCTCGACATGGTTCACGAGGTCTATCAAGTATTAAATATGATTTAGCTTTATACAATATGTGGTTAAAAGCAAAACAGGAAAATGCTTTAACACCATTGGGTGAACAATTGGGTGCTGATTTAGAAGCAATGATGAAAGCCAATATTCTATTGGGTTATGGGGTGGAAGGTATACGCCAGTATGGCTATGGCAATGAAACTTCTGTGGGTATTAAAGAGCATCAGGGTATCGCAGATCGTTTATTACAACGCTTACCACAATTGTTTAATCAAGCCAGCCAACAGGGTAAATCTGTACAGATCGTCAGTTCGGGTGTGGATCGAGCGGTGGACAGTGCTAAATTTTTTACCAATGAATTATTGAAACAGCAACCAAGTTTAAAGACTGCAATTACACCAGCAAGCTATCAAAGTTTAAATAGTAACGCCGTACCAAGTATTGTCGATGGTGGGGTAAATCGCTTTCATCTGTATTTTCATAGTTTAAATGCGCAAGACGATTTGACCAATGTTAAAACGGATTTAGATAAAACAGTCTATGCGGCTAGCTTAAAATATCAAGACTTTGAAGAGAATGATCCAGACTTAAAACAAAAAATAAAAACGTTGAGTGCAGATTCTAATGCGCAAAAAATCGCAACAGAAGTATTAAGCCCAATTTTTAAAACAGCGTTTATTCAAAAAATTGGTCAAACAGGCTATAGCTTTAGTAATTCAGGATCATTCACTGTAACAAGTCCTAAAGGTGAACAGATTACTGAAAAAGGAAAGGGGAAAAATACCATTGCCAGTGCAGTAGATGCTGCTGCTTATCTGTACGAGTTGTATTCAATCACTGGCGGAATGCAAGACGAGCTTGGGGCGACAAACTTTAAAAAATATATGCCAACTGAAGCGGCTAAGTTCTATGCGCAATATAACGATGCCAATGATTACTATAGTAAGGGTCCAAGCTTTGATACAGGCAAAGCTGTGACAACAGATATTGCCAAGTCACTCAAGCAGGATTTATTTAAACAAGTTGATGATGTTATGAGCAACACACAAAAGAATGTTGCTGTATTAAGGTTTGCTCATGCTGAAATCATTATCCCTTTAGCCACCAGCTTAGAGTTAAAGGGCATGATGCAATCTGTGCCCTTGACGCAGACATTTAACTATTCAAATAGTGCATGGCGTGGCGAAGATATCTCACCGATGGCGGCAAACTTACAGTGGGATATTTATCAAAATTCGCAAGGGCAAACTTTGTTAAAAATGCTCTATAACGAAAAAGAGATTGCTTTTAAAAAAGATTGTGATTATGCGCGTTATAAAGCAAACAGCTATTATTATGACTATTTAAAGTTGAAACAATGTTATATTATTCAATAGATTGCTATAAAATTTGAGGGGGAATTGGTTTCTCCCTTTTAATCTGTTTATAAAAGGAACACTGTGAAATTCCAGCAACATACGATTCAAGCTGCTATTTTTGATATGGACGGTACGATGCTGGACACTGAACGGCTTAGGTTTGATGTGTTAAAACAAGCGTCTTTGGAAGTCATCGGTGTTGAATTCGGTTTAGATTATTTGATGCAATGTTTAGGGCTCAATGCGTTAAACTCAGAACACTTAGCACAAAAATTCTATGGTCAAGATATCCCTTACCAGCACATTCGGCAGCGTGCTGAACAAATTGAACTTGAGATGATTTTGTCGCAAGGCGTACCAGTAAAAGCCGGAATTTTAGAAATATTAGCTTATTTGCAATCTGAAAATATCCTATTGGCTGTCGCTACATCTAGCACCCGAAAAATTGCTGAAAAATATTTAAAACTTGCAGAAATTGATCATTATTTTACCTTGTTGGTCTGTGGTGATGAGGTGATACAAGGCAAACCACACCCAGAAATTTTTAACAAAGCCAGCACCTTATTAAATCTAAATCCGCAACACTGTTTGATGATTGAAGATTCTGAAAATGGAATTACTTCAGCACATTTGGCCGGGGGAGTAACGATTTTGATTGAGGATATTAAAGCGCCAAATCAGACCATGCTGGCGAGAGCAGATTACTACTTTGAATCTATGTTGGATTTTTATCAGGCAATCATAAAATCTGACTGAATAAAATTCATTTTCAATTGAACAACACTCAGTCAATTCAAGATTTAAACATGATGATTACATGCTTTAATAGAAGCATTAAAATTAATGTGAATTTGATGTGTTTTTAGGTTCTCAAAGTTTAACAACTCCAACTGAGACACATGATTATCCCGAGTGGCACAAAGGGAGAAAACACTACGCCTTATGGTATATCGAAATTCATCATCCTGAATTATTGGCTTATTTAAGCGATTTAACAGAAAAATTCTCAAACTATTTATTGCACCCCAATACACGGCAATTTCATATCACATTGTATATTTGTGGTTTTCTAACAGAAGATAAAATGCAATTTGATGATGATTTTATTTATAGTAAATTTCAGCAACAACTTAAAATTTTGACTCAAAACAAGCCAAATAATTTTAAATTAACAATAGGGAAAATAAATAGTTTTAGCAGTGCTTTATTTATAGAAATTCATGATTATGAAAATAGCCTAAGCAATATTCGACAATTATTATCCTATCCAAGCCAAGAAATTGCTGCTTTAGATTATTGCCCGCATATCACCTTGGGTTTGTATTCAGCAGAATTTAAAGCCCAACAAATATTTAAAGCTATTGAAAAGATTGATCAAAAAAGTTTTGAAATTAGTATTGAGCAGCTTAATTTTGGTATATATCAGGCACAAGTCTTACAGGGGCCTTTAACCGCGTTACATCAGCTTATACTCAATCCGAAAAAAACAGATGGATCTTGGGAGTCAAATTTATGTTGCAATTAATCCTAGGTGGCGCGCGTTCAGGCAAAAGTAAATTAGCTGAACAAATCGCAAAAGACTCAAATCTAGAGGTCATTTATATTGCTACCGCCCAAGCGTGGGATGATGAAATGCGACAACGTATTTCACACCATCAGACACAACGACTTGATGGATGGCGGCTGATTGAAGAACCACTTTACCTAGCAGATTGTTTAAAACAAATAGATCAAGAAAAGCAGGTGATTTTGGTGGATTGCTTAACCTTATGGATAAGTAATTTATTGATGCATGAGAACTCAAATCTGCAGTGCATCGAATGTGAAAAATTGCTGAAAATTCTACCTACATTAAAGTCTAAAATTGTTTTAGTCAGCAATGAAACAGGACTAGGTGTTATACCAATGGGTGAAATAACCCGAAAATTTGTTGATGAATCAGGACGTTTACATCAACTATTAGGTCAAATTGCTGATAAAGTAGTGTTTTGCGTCGCTGGTTTTCCGATGTTATTAAAAGGATAAATATTGTGATTTTTATCATATAAACTTGAGCATTTTAACGATTAACAATGAATTTTTAAAATACGAGATGGAGAGCAACAATGAATTGGTGGTTAGAAGCATGTAAAGTGCCAAACGCAGAAACAAAACAACAGGCTGAAGAACGTCAATTACAATTGACCAAGCCAACAGGCTCGCTGTCTGTTTTGGAAAATGTCGCCGTGCAATTGGCTGCTTTGCAAAGTAACTCAAAACCCAATGTAGATAAACCTTGGATTACGATTTTTGCAGGTGATCATGGGGTAATGGCTGAAAATATTTCTGCCTATCCGCAAGCAGTCACTCGCCAAATGCTGCAAAACTTTGCAACAGGTGGCGCGTGTATCAGTGTAATTGCTAAAGAATATGCCGCGACCTTACAAGTCATTGATTGTGGCACAGTGGGTGAGGCTTACCAATATCAAGGCGTTGAGCGTCATAGTATTGCTCAAGGGACTGCTAATTTCGCTCAACAAGTGGCAATGACTGAGCAACAATGTCAGCAAGCTATGGCGCTAGGTCGCGAAAGTGTAGAAAAAGCCATTGCACAGGGTGCTTCAATTTACATCGCTGGAGAAATGGGGATTGGAAATACCTGTTCAGCTTCAGCGATTGCATGTTTCTTATTAAATGAACCTGCTGAGCAACTGACAGGTGTAGGCACGGGGATTCGTGCTGATCAGTTGATTCATAAAAAAAATATCATTCAGCATTCGCTTGAATTACATAAAAATTATGTTGAAAATGATGCATTTAAAGCTTTGTGTGCTGTAGGTGGCTTAGAAATTGCTGCAATGACAGGAGCTTATATTCGCTGTGCTCAACTCGGGATGCCTGTAATTGTCGATGGTTTTATTAGTTCTGTGGCAGCATTAGTCGCGGTACGACTCAATCCTGAAGTTCGACAATGGATGTTGTTCGGTCATCAGTCTGCTGAATATGGGCATCAACGCCTATTACAAGAGTTGAATGCTGATCCATTATTAAAGCTTAATTTACGTTTGGGGGAAGGCAGTGGTGCGGGTGCTGCCTTGGGTGTGATCAAGTTGGCATGCAGTTTACATAACAACATGGCCACTTTTGCAGAAGCTGCGGTAATTGGCGAGAAAGTTTAAACTTATTCATAATTTAAAAAGAGCATATGCATGAAACTGAGGATTGATCTATTACGTCACGGGGAAACTACGCTGAATCATACTTTGCGTGGTTCGACTGATGATGAATTGACAGAATTGGGCTGGCAACAAATGCACCAGACCATTTCCTATGATCAATCCTCTGTGCAAACACAATGGGATTTTATGTTTAGCTCGCCTTTAAAGCGCTGTTTCTCATTTGCACAGAGACTTTCTGAACAAGTTCAAATACCACTGATGCAAGATCATCGATTACAAGAAATTCATTTCGGTGATTGGGAAGGTATTTCAACACAGCAGATTTATGCAAAAACGCCTGAGTTATTGGAAAATTTTTGGCAATCTCCGACACACTTTACCCCGCCAAATGCTGAAAGATATTTAGATTTTCAGTATCGAATTAAGCAAGCATTACAAGCGATCAAAGAGCAGATGCTGGTTACACAAAGCCAAACAGCTTTGATTGTGACGCATGGCGGTGTGATCAAACTTTTAAAATGTATGGCGCTACAACAATCTCTTGATGATATTTTAAAAATGTCAGCAGAACTTGGGCAATTAAACCGCTTTATGTTGGACAGCGAAACCATGCAGTTAGAGTTATTGGAGAGCAATAAATGACACCATTTTTTATTGCATTGCAATTTTTAACGATTTTCCCTGTTTATTTAAAAAATATGCCTTCGCCAAAACAAAATGGTCAGTCACTGTTATTTTATCCAGTGATTGGGCTTTTGATTGGTTTGGTTCTGTTTGCCGTTGCCAGTTTTCTACATGTTTTGCCTGTAGTTTTACTCAGTACCATTATTCTGGTCATCTGGATTGTGCTCACAGGCGGCTTACATTTAGATGGTTTAGCGGATACTGCGGATGCTTGGGTCGGCGGCTTTGGTGATAAAGAAAATACCTTAAGAATTATGAAAGACCCAGCATGTGGACCGTTTGGTGTGCTGAGTTTAATTGTTATCTGTTTGATTAAATGGTCTGCACTGTATGTGTTATTACAGGAGCAACACTATACTGCTTTGATTCTATTTCCTATTTTAGGGCGTTTAACACCATTATTTTTATTTCTGACCACTGAATATGTCCGTGAAAAGGGTTTAGGCTGGTCTATTGCTCAATATATTCCTAAAACTTGGGCAATGATCATTTTTGGTATCAGTTTATTGGGCGCAGGTTATTTTGTCTGGGTGGGTTTAGTGACCGCGACGATTTTTATTTTGACCTTGATTTATCTTCGCTATAAGTTTATTCAACGAATCGATGGCATTACGGGTGACACCCTCGGTGCCAGTATAGAAATCGCAGAAACCATCTGTTTACTCTGTTTTATCATTTGTGGTTTTTATATTTAATCAGATTAAGAAAAAACCGAAGTTTTTAAACTTCGGTTTTTAAATTGATCACTTATTTACGTTTATCTACTCATTATTTATCAGTAAATAATTGATAAAATTTAGATTTATATACATCTATACTAATCAAGATTAGAATTTTTTCTCTACACTGAACAAGAAACTTGGAATAGCATCATTGACCCGAGCTTCATATAAAGCACCATCACTTTGATTATTTAAGCGCTCTTTATAATCTGTACTCAAAATATTACGAGCACTCAGTGTTGTTGCCCAGCCTTTAGGGAAGCGTTTTGTCGCACTAATATCCACATTTACACGTTGATTGGTTGTACGATCATAGGGAAGATTGTCTAAAGCGCGGGTAAATTCAGGCGTGTAGCTTAGATTAATACTGCTTGCCAATTGCCAAGGCTGGTAATTGTATGAAACGCCTGTACTTGCTGTATAAGGGGCAACATCACTGGCTAAACGTGTATTGTGGTCTGAGTCTTCGATTTTGGCGCGTACTGTCGATAATTGTCCATTCAACATAAATGAATGACCATTTTCGGTTTGTTTTAAAGCATAGCGACCTGAAATTTCTACACCATAGGTTGTTGCTTGGTCTTGGTTATACGGACGTTCAACAAAGCGTGTGCCTTCTTGACGAATCACTTTTTCGATATAGTCATCAATATCTCGATGAAAAGCCGTAATATTTACGCCACCTGCAGTAGTGTTATAACCCAAGGTCGTTTCCAATGCGGTGATTTTTTCAGGTAGAAGATTGGGATTACCGCCACGGTCTGGGTTATTGATAGAGCCTGCATCAGCATCTGTTGAAATGGAAACAGTCGGCATGAGATTGTTACTATTTGGACTTTTAAAGGCGCGACTAATATTGGTTTGCAAAGACCATTGATCGCTAAAGTCAAAACGATGTGCAAGTACAGGGCTGAGGTTTTGATCACTATATTCAACCAAACCTGAACGCTCTAACCATTCCTGACGTGCACCCAAGGTAAGGGTTTGGTGTTTTGTAAACTTCCAACTGCTTTCTAAATAAAGTGCATAACGTTGCTCGTCTAATGTGTCAGCAATATTGCTTTCTAGCGCATTGGCACGCGCATCAAGTCCAAATTTTACTTGTTTGCTTTCATCAAACTTGCGTACCCCATCATAAGCTAAGCCGTATTCATTCACAGTTTCATCAATATAAGAACTGTATTGATTGGAACGAGTGGATTCAGTTTCATTTTGTTTTTCAATAGATAAGCGGACTTTGTCTGAGTCTCCTTTATCTTTACGCTCATAACGAGTATTTAAGCGAATACTGTCATTCTGATCATTTTGAACTTGATTACTGCTAGAGCCATCACTTTCATTCTTACGATAAAAAATTTCTGAAACCAGTTTTTGTTGATCATCAATTTGATATTCAATACGTGGTGCAAACATGGTATTTGTACGATTGGTACTGCGTATTTGTTGGCGTGTACCATTTATATTTTCAATTTCTGTGCTTGATTTACTGTCATTCCACATTTGATTGGCTGAAACACTATAAATCCATGCACCATCACGCCCATCAGCTTGTACACTGATATTTTTACGTTGTTCTTCATTTTGATCCGATTGGGTGATGCCATATCCTAATTTAACATTGCCACTGATTCGAGCATCGTCTAAGGGTTCTTTTAAAATGATATTGATCACTGCAGAAGATGCAACTGAGGCTTGAGCTACATTAGGTTGTTTGGTGATTTCAATTCGTTCAATCATTTCAGGTGTAATCGAGTCAACAATAGACATACCACCGCGTGGTCCGCCTTGCACAGCTTCACCATTAATCAAAAATACTGGTGCGCCACCACCACGAAAACGCATGCTGCCAGAACCGCTTGATCCACGTGGTCCTTGTCCTGGTGTTGGCATTTGAAAACCTGCTGCACGTCTTAAAGCATCATTGATCGATTGATCGCCGAATTGCAGCATTTCTTCACGTGTCACAATGGTTTTAGCGACCGCACTGATATCAGGATCTTTAGTAGGTGTTTGTTCAGCGGCAAAAACCAAGGTTTTTAATTGTTTTGGTGATTCATTTTTTTTAAGTTGAGTCGCTTCAGTAGTTTTATTTGTAGCTGTCGTTTCATCATTTGCAAGGCTTGCAGAGGTGATGGCGAATATAGCAAGGCTTAAAGTACTCAATGTACCCCAGTAAAGTTTTGTACGGTGCATGTTGCATCGTTCCATTTATGTAATTTCGCGTAAGATTAGCGCACAATTATGTAGAAATTTTGAGGAAAAGGGCATGGATAAAAAAAATTTAATGCTGAATTTATTTTATTTAAATCAAAAAAAAGCCTAATGAGTGAAGCATTAGGCTGATGAAATTTCTAAAAATATAAACTGAAAAATAGAACAGAGGATTACCACATCAAGTCATCTGGAATAACATAAGCAGCATAAGGATCTTCCTCATCTGTCACTTGTTCATTCTTCTCAGAATTATTGACAATAATAAATCCAGTCATTTTTTCATTGATACGTTCACCCAAAGCTTTGGGTAAAATTGCGTAAGCATCATTATTGTCATGTGCGATCACCAAACTGCCTGAAACTAGGGCATTATAAACTTGCTGATTGATATAGATTTTCTTAACCGAACCATCGATAAACTGATAGACCGCATCGCCATCTGTATCTGTGATTTTATGTTGACCAATCATTTGGATAATTGAAGCTTTTAAGGCTTTTTCATCTAAAATGCGTTGTTTCTCTTGATTCAGCGCTTGGTCTTTACTGATTTTCTCTTGTTTGTCTTGTTCAATTTTAGCTTTAAGCTCAGCTTCATTACTCTGACCTGTACGTTGCTCATGCTGTGCCTGCTTTGACAATTTCTTTGCTTTTTTATTATCCACTAAGCCAGCTTTGAGTAACTGTGCTTGCAATGCGTTTTTGACCATAACAATAACCAACCATTAAATGTGTTTCGAACCATGCCGAAAATAAATAAACCAATACGTTAAGCTGAGTATTAAACTTAATCCAGCAGGGATAAGGAATGAATTTAATTGTAAATAAGGATACACGATACTGGCAATCAGCCCACCCAGAATAAATCCGGAAAGAATCAAAAAATGTAATGTGACACGGCGCTTTTCAATACCGAGTCCCCGAAAAAGATAGCCTAAAGCCAAACCAAGATCGGTTAAAACCCCTGAAAGATGTGTAGTGCGGATAATTGTGCCTTTATAGTGGCTGACCATGGCATTTTGCATTCCCATTGCGGTACTTGCCCAGAGTAAAGCATATTTTGGATAATAAGGAATAAATAACCAGCAAAGCAAAATAAACACACTCACAAGGCTGAGTGGAACACCATATCTACGACCAAGTTTAAAATTGCTATTGCCTAAAATAAAGCCACTATAACTTGATCCAATCACATAACTGAGCATGACCAAGAAAAGGTAAAGCACATGATCATATTGTTGATGAATCAGTGCTTGCGCAAATAAACTGGCATTGCCCGTCATATGAGAGATGGATTGATGAAGGACGGTAATCAAACCAAGCACATTAATTATGCCTGCATTGACTGCAAGCATAAACGCACCTAGTTGAATCCAAACGGGCAAATACTGTAGAGGCATAATTCCTTCTTTTTATTCATATACCTTGTATATTACTTTTTAGAAAGATCAACTGCTGCTGTAAATAAGACATCAGTCGAGGAATTCAATGCTGTTTCTGTTGAGTCTTGAAGCACACTAATCACCATACCAATTGCAATCACTTGCATTGAGATTTCTGAAGGAATACCAAATAAACCACAAGCCACAGGAATTAACAACAGAGAACCACCAGCAACACCAGACGCACCACAAGCTGTTACCACAGAAACCACAGATAAGATCACCATAGTGACGATATCAACTTGAATACCAAGTGTATGCACAGCAGCAAGGGTAAGCACGGTAATTGTTACCGCTGCACCTGCCATGTTAATTGTTGCACCTAATGGGATCGCAACGTTAGCAGTGGTATCATTTACCCCTAAGCGTTTTGCCAAGTCAAGGTTTACCGGAATATTTGCTGCAGAACTACGGGTAAAGAATGCAGTGATTCCACTTTCTCTTAAGCATTTTAAAACCAAAGGATATGGGTTTTTACGCATCACAAAACCAACAATCAATGGATTGATGACGAGGGCTACAAAAAGCATAGTACCAATAAGTACAGCAATTAACTGGGCGTAGTTTTTTAAGGTTTCTAAACCTGCTTGTGCAAATGTAGCAACAACTAAGCCAAAGATTCCTACAGGAGCAAATGCAATCACTACACGAATGATGGCATTAATTGCATCCGCAACATCTGTAATCACTTGTTGAGTGGTTTCTGAACCGTGACGAAGTGCTGCACCTAAGCCTACAGCCCAAGCTAAAATGCCAATGAAATTTGCTTCATGCAAAGCTGTTATTGGATTGCTAATAAAGCTGAGGAGTAGGTTTTTTAATACTTCTGCTACGCTACCCGGTGGCTGTAAAGTCACTTCGCTTGCATGTGCAAAAACCAAAGTACTTGGAAACATTGTGCTTATTGTAATGGCACTAATCGCAGCCAGTAACATTCCAATTGCATATAATCCAAGAATTGGTTTTAAGTTACTCGCACCTTCGCCGACTTTAAAGTTAGCGATAGAAGAGAGAACCAAGACAAATACAAGAATTGGTGCAATGGATTTTAATGCTTTAATAAAAAGCTCGCCTAAAATAATGAAATATTGGGCTGAATTGGGGAATAGATACGCAACTATAAAACCAAGAATAATGGCAATAAGAATACGAGTAACTAAACTTAAACGTGCTAGGACAGCAAACATGTTGAACCTTTATGCCTAAACTGGTCTAAAATCGATGAACAAGCCGCGTATTCTATACCTAAAAGCGAAAACTTAAATAATACAATTTCGCCATAAAAATTAAGATATTAAAAAATATATAGCTTTTTCAGCAATCATAATAAAAAATGTTGATAATTTAAACGATTATTTAACTAAAAGTTTGGGCATCCAATTGATGCATGGCTTGGTAATGCGTTAAATAAATATTTCCACTGAGCTGCCGAATTAAATTGGACTGTTTTAAACGATCCATGACTGGACCTTTGACTTCCGTGAGATGCATTTGAATTTTTAATTTATTTAAATCGCTGTTGATTTCTTCCAAAGTTTCTAAAGCACTTGCATCAATATTACTAATACTTGAGCAATTGATCACTACATGATGTAGCTCTGGATGTTTGCTGACTTCTAAAATGATAAATTCTTTTAAAGTATTGGCATTTAAAAAACTTAGATTTTCATCAATACGAATAGACACAATATTGGTACTGGTCAAAACATCATGTCTTGAAATATTACGAAAATGTTGAGTGCCTTCAACTAAGCCAATGACGGCAATATGCGGACGGCTAATACGCCATAACAGCAATAAAAATGTAGAAACAATACCAATAATCAAACCTGTTGAAATATCGATACACAACACCCCAAAGAATGTAACCCACATCGCAATCCCATCGGCTTTGGAATAACGCCATGTTTCGATGAAGGGTTTAAAATCAACCAATTTCCAAATGGATACCATAATGGTTACAGCGAGAATCGCCAAAGGAAGTTGTTTAAATAAACCGGTAAAATATAAACTCACAATCACGATAAAAATTGAAGATAAAACACCAGCCATAGGCGTTTTTGCGCCTGCATCTGCATTAACCACTGTACGTGATAAACTGCCAGTCACAGGAAATGCTGACGTGACACCTGCGCTAAAGTTGGCTAAACCCAGTGCAATCAGCTCTTGATTACTATTAAGCTCACTACGTTGCTGAAACGCTGTGGTCTGTGCAATAGAAATAGATTCGACAAAACTCACCATGGTAATCATTGCTGCACCGGGTAAAAGCTGGATCACCAAATCCCAACGCCAATAAGGCATGGCAATTGGTGGAAATCCCGAAGGAATCTCGCCTACGGTTTTGATACCAAATTGGTCTATATGCAGGAAATGTATTAACCCAATCGAAATAAACACAAGAACCAAGGGCAGTGCTTTCACCCAGAATTGAAGAGAATGTGCAAAAGATTGGCATAACTTAGATTTAAAAAAAACCGGGATGTAAATCAAAAACAGAATCGCACAAACACCAAAAATCAAAGTCTCAATACTGGTGAAACTAATGTATAGCCATAGGCTTTGAATAAACTCGATAACATTGCCAGATTTTAAGGGTACATCGAGCATAAACTTAACTTGGCTGAGTGCAATCAATACTGCGGATGCGATGATAAAACTCTTAATCACAGGATGACTGATTAAACGGATTAAAAAGCCGAATCTAAAAATTCCTAGTAAACTTGAAAGTATGCCAACGAGAAGTGCCAATAAACATGCTGCTTGAATATATACAGGTGAACCCACCTCATAGAGCGGTTCAAGCGTAGCAAAGGTCATCATGGAAATCAGCGCAACAGGACCAATAGAAAGTGTTGGGCTGCCACCAACAATGGCATAGATGATCATGGGTAAAATACTGGCATATAAGCCTGTCACTGGAGGCAACCCAGCAACCATGGCATAAGCCATACCTTGAGGTACAAGCATTGCAATGACGATTAAAGCAGCAAGTAGATCAGCCCTAAATTTAGGGACATTATAGTCTTGCAGCCATTGCCATGCAGGGAGTATTTTACTGAGTTGAACTTTTGGGGCAGCCATTGGAACTTCATTAGCATATTTTCATATATATTATGCAGAAAAAATGCTAAGAAAAATAGCGACAGCTAACTTATATAATGAATTGTTTGTTTTTATTTTAAATTTATCTAGATGCTAAGATGTGTATTAAACCTGTGGGCAATACAAATCATATAAGGTTGTTAATACCACCATCAGTTTTTGATCTTTAATGGAATAATAAATTTGCTTCCCATCACGACGTGTTGAAACAACATCACTTTTACGTAACATCATCAATTGTTGAGAAAGCGTCGGTTGATTAATCTGAGTTTTTTCTTCTATTTGTGAAACATTTAACTCTTCTTGAGCAAGATGGCATAAAATTAGTAAGCGATCTGTATTGGCTAAAGATTTTAAAATAGTCACGACTGATGCAGCTGATTCACGCATTACATCAATTTCAAGATCACTAGACATCGGTAGGTTCCATCCATTATTTAACACATTATAACTGTGTCAGTGCATGTCGTATGGCTTTTAGCTTATGTTTTTTGATGAATTTCTAAATCAATTTTGTGAATATATCTTCACATTCTGTTTTAACTTTCTACAGAACTAGATTTTCTCTGTTTACAGTTGAATAAATAGACAAAAATAAGTGATATGTTAAGATGTAACTACAGCTAAAAATCAAGCTGAGGATACTTGACATGACGACATTTACAGCAATGAAGACGACATTACGTGAGGAAGCAACGATTCCAGTGCTTGCTATCGATGCGTTTAGTGCGGCATTTAATCATGCAAGTCAGTCAAACGCTACAATCACTTATGTAAAAGATCAACAGCTGGTTCAACAAAGCAATGGTGAAATCAAAGTTGTTGAAGATTTATCTTCTGCCTATGTGGTTCCCAAGCTTAAACACAGTGTGTTAAAACGTAAAAAGAAACAAGAGGTGATGGCATAACTTTATATGCGACAGCCGAGAATAAGAATGTTTGCTGGTCCAAATGGATCAGGTAAAAGCACAATTAAAGACTATTTAGCGCCCCATCAGATTGGGGCATATTTAAATGCAGATGAGCTTGAGAAACAATTATCTGCGACTCAAAGTTTGTGCTTAGATGATTATCATCATGATTTATCAAACGTAGCGCTACTCAAATTTTTAAAACAAAAAAAGCGTAAAAAGAATGAGCAAGTTGTTCCGCTATTATCGTTAAAACCACAAATTGTTGATGGACTCATTGTATTTGACCGAGATGAAATCGACTCCTATCTTTGCGCACGCATTATCGATTTTATTCGGATGGAATTTTTAAGGTTAAAAATAAGTTTCACTTTTGAAACTGTCATGTCGCACATCAGCAAAGTTGAGTTTCTACGTGAAGCACAGAAACAAGGCTTTAAAACGTATCTGTACTATGTGGCAACTGTTGACCCAAAAATTAATATTGGACGTGTGCAATATCGGGTCGCTACAGGTGGCCATGCTGTACCTGTGCAGAAAATCTGTGAGCGCTATTATCGCAGTTTAGATTTATTGATGCTGGCAATTGAAGCTTCAGATCGTGCATATATTTTTGATAATTCAAGTCACGGTGAAAAAGCAGCTTTTATTGCAGAGATCGAAAAGGCTGAAGTGCTAAAACTAAATCCTGTTGTAGAGTATTTCCCTAAATGGTTTGTAGACAAAGTATTGAATGAATTTAATTAATCTGATGATTAGATCTGTTTTATAAAGCAAAAAAAGATCATGTTGAGTGAAACATATTGGTATTGAAAGTTCCTTCTTACTTTGGAATAAGGCTAGCATGAAGGGGATTTTATCTTGATTAATAGTTTTAAAAAGGACTGATGAAAGAAGTCTATTGGCAAAATATTAAAAATTAAAATAAATTATAAGTTGTTAATTATTATTAACAAATATGATTAAAGTCATTCAGTGATTTAAATCAAAACTAAAAAATAAGCTGTGCAATTCTCTAGCAAAGCATATAGGGATTATATTTGCAGTTATGCCTTTGATTTGCATATTTCTATATATCATTATCTGAAGATGAGGTTGATTAATTTAAATAAGTATATATTATAAAAACATATATTGTATGGATTTAAAGCAATGCATGATTTTATATTGGCCTTTTTGGGTGGAGTTCTACTTGGTCTGGCTGTAGTTGGCTACTTATTTGTAAATGGTCGTGTTGCTGGGATAAGTGGTCTAATTGCACAAGTCCTCAATCCACACAGAATTTTTAAAACACCTGCTTTGTGGTTTTTATTGGGGTTATTCAGCACACCATTTATCTATGGACAGATTTTTAATCCTGAAATTGTGATGCTAACGACAAGCCCAATTTTACTTGTCAGCGCAGGTCTATTGGTAGGCTTTGGCACACGATTAGGATCAGGCTGCACCAGTGGTCATGGAATTTGTGGGATAAGTCGTTTGTCTAAACGCTCAATTGTCGCAACCTGTACCTTTATGCTGGCTGGATTTATCACTGTGTATGTGATGCGCCATGTGATTGGAGCTTAATCATGAAAAATATCTTTGCATTTATCTTTGGTGGGCTATTTTCTGTAGGTTTAATGCTTTCAGGTATGTCGAATCCAGCAAAAGTCATCGGTTTCTTAGATATATTCGGCCAGTGGGATCCAAGTCTAGCTTTTGTGATGATTGGTGCAATAGTCGTTGCATTTATTCCTTTTCAAAAAGCGATACGTAATCCTGTGACTGTGTTTAATGAAGTGATCGAATTACCAAAAAATACCCAACTCGATACAAAGTTAGTTGCAGGCGCTTTCATTTTTGGTATAGGTTGGGGAATTGCTGGAATTTGTCCAGCACCAGCATTTACATTGATTGGTTTAGGTCATTATCAAGCCTTATATTTTATTGTTGCCATGCTGTTTGGCATATTGATTCATCGCAAAGTGACAGGAGCATAATTGTTTATGAATCCATTTGTACAAGATTTTTTTGATGAAGCCAGTAATACCTTTAGTTATGTGGTGGTTGATCCTGCTACTCAATATTGTGCCATTATTGACAGTGTATTGGATTATGATGCGGCATCTGCAACAACATCGACAACACAAGCAGAGCATATTATTCAGTATATTCAAATACATCATCTTACAGTGCAGTGGATTCTTGAAACACATGTACATGCAGATCATTTAACAGCTTCGCAATATTTAAAAGCACAGTTAGGCGGTCAAATCGCCATGAGTGAAAAAATTGTGACTGTTCAAGATATTTTTAGTCAAATTTATCATCTTGATTATGAGGCTTTAAAAGCACAGCATTCATTTGATTATTTATTTAAAGATCATGAAATTTTTAAAATTGGCGAGTTAGAGGCATATAATCTCCCTACACCTGGTCATACTCCCGCTTGTTTGACCTATGTGATTGGTGATGCAGCCTTTGTTGGTGATACTTTGTTTATGCCTGATTATGGCACAGCGCGTTGTGATTTTCCAAAGGGTAGTGCGGCACAACTTTATGATTCTGTAATGAAAATTTTTAACTTACCCGAGCATACTCGGCTGTATTTATGCCATGATTACCTGTCAGAATCACGCCAAGATTTTCATTGTCAAACAGACATCAATACCCAACGTAAAGAAAACATCCACATCCATACAGGAGTGACTAAACAAGCCTTTATTGCTCTGCGAGAACAACGTGATGCTACATTGTCTATGCCAAAACTAATCCTTCCAGCTATTCAAATCAATATGAATGCTGGTAAATTTCCTGAGCCTGAAACGAATGGTGTTCGTTATTTAAAATTACCTTTAAATTATTTTAGGTAAATTGTTTAAATTAAAATATATTTATTAAATGATAATGATTTGAATTTTTATTCAATAATTTTTAGATTTAATAATCATGATTGTTTATTTAGTTTTTTAAAATAATTTTCTTTAATATGCTTGAAAATTACGCAATGATTGATTTTTTTATGAATATTGTTAAGATTATTATAAATAAGTGCAGAACTCGATGAGGGAATTGAGTTTCTCTAAAAAAAACCAAAAGAGGGAGCAGGGTTGCTGATATTACAAAAGATAAAATTTATTTATCAAGTTGATATTTAAGGATAATTTAAACAAACATAGGTTTGTCATAAATTTGAAACATACTTGAGAACTTAAAAGAATAGATTTTATAAACGTTATTGTATACAATTTAAACTTATTGGTTAAAGTGTGACTTATATCACATGGTTTTTTTAAAAAAATAACGACTCGACACTTGGGTTAAACAAGAATCTGTGGTTATTTAAAATACATATAAGTTTGAACGATGGTTTATCTTAATTTTTGTGTTGATAGATAGGATTAATTTATGGCAGGCATTTATTTACCTTTGCATTCGAGTTTGAATCAGGTGGGTTCATTTCCAAAGCCTATAACTTCTCGATCTGCACAAATTTTGAATGAAGTCAAAGAAGCTTTAGATCTAATACCACACCTTATTTGGGTGACAAAATTGGGGATTGGCTATTGTAATACCCCATTAAAAGAATTTATTGGTGTAGATACACATAATATTTGCGATTCCGATTGGATTAAATGCTTACATCCTGATGATGCAGAACATATCTATAATATTTGGATAACCGCGCAAAAAACTGGTCAACGTTTTGAAAAAGAATGTCGTATTCGCCATGTGAACGGCGATTATCAATGGTTTTTACTGATTGCTCAAAGTACGGTTTATAAACAACAGTTTTATGATTGGACCATAACCTGTACCAATATCCATGATCGTGCAACGTTATTACGCGAAACCAGCGAGTCGTTAAAAGCCAATACAGACATGCTTGATGTCAGTGTCGACTGTATCAAAATTATTACACCAGATGGTTATGTGTCACATATGAATAAATCTGGCTGTATTGCATTGCTTGGACAAGAAAAAGTAAAAACTTTTGGTATGGAATGGCTCGGACTATTGCCACCAGAAGTTCGTGAGCAGGGTAAAAAAGCCATTAAAGAAGCGGCAAAAGGGAAAAATGCTAGATTTGCAGGTAAAAGTGTCTTTGGCAATCTAACCATGTATTGGGACAATATCTTAACCCCAGTTGTCAATGAAAATGGTCAAACCACCAGTATTTTATGTGTTTCACGAGATATAACCAAACAACGCATTGCAGAAGAAAAACTCAGAGTGATTTGTGAATTTGATGAAATGACGAGTTTGATGAATCGTCGTGCATTTAAAAGAAGATTAAAGGCATCAATCTCTAAAGCCAGAGAGAACCGAAGCAAAATTGGATTATTACTGATTGACTTAGATCATTTTAAGCATATCAATGACACATTAGGTCATTCTGCTGGTGATCATTTACTTAAGGTCTTGTCTAAACGTCTCGCGCATTGTTTAGATGAGAATGCCTATATTTCAAGACTTGGTGGTGATGAGTTTGCAGTGGTGATTGACCATGTTGAAAGTCATGAACAGATCGAGGCTGTTTCTAAAAAATTATTACAACAACTTGATGCGCCTATTACTTATAGCGGTAAATTGTTGAATGGTGGCATGAGTATCGGTGGTTCAATTTATCCGCATGATGCCAAAGATGGTTCAGGATTGTTGAAATGTGCAGATGCTGCTTTAAATGACCTTAAAGAACGGGGTCGTGGCGGTATTCGTATGTTTGGTGTAGACATGTTTGAAATTGCCCAAAGTAAAGCCAAACAATTAAATACAGCACGTCAAATTATCCGTAACAATCAAGTTGAACCATTTTACCAACCTAAAGTGAAACTGGATGATTGCTCAATTATTGGTTTTGAAGCATTACTCAGATGGCGTGATGTAGAGGGCAATGTTTATTTACCCGCAACAGTTGCTGAAGCATTTAATGATTTTGAGTTAGCGACCAAAATCAGCGAAACCATGCACGATAAAATATTTACAGATATTTCTCATTGGATCAAGCAAGGTTTTAACGTTGTACCGATTTCAATCAACGCTTCACCTGTAGAGTTTATGCGGGATAATTATGCGGAAATTTTATTAAAGCGCTTGACCCAGTATGCTATTCCACATCATCTTGTTGAAGTCGAGATTACTGAACATGTTTTGGCTGATCGTGGCTATGAATATGTTATCCGTGCATTGAAAAAACTTAAACAAGAAGGTGTCCGAATTGCCTTAGATGATTTTGGAACAGGGCATTCATCGATGACGCATATTCGTGATTACCCTGTAGATAGTTTAAAAATTGACTACAACTTTGTAAATCGTATGCATGAAGAAAAGTCAATTAAAGCAATAGTGGAAGGGATTGCAAAATTAGGTCCAATCCTTTCTTTAGATATTATTGCAGAAGGGATTGAAACGATTCAGCAGCTTGAAAATTTAAGAGCTGTGGGCTGTAAATTTGGCCAAGGTTTCTTATTTAGCCAAGCAATTTGTGCAGAACAAGTGCAAGAAATGTTGCAGTAAGGGGCTTGGGATTAACCACAATGATTGGGTTAAATTGTGCCTTAACTCAATCATTTGTATTCCATACATAAAATATAGAAAAACTTTAAAAAAGGGCTTGAAAAGTCTACAGACTACAGGTATTGTAAATTCAATATAGATTTTTATGAACGACATAAAGATGAAAAAGCAACCTGTAATCGCTACTTCTTATTATTTCTGGCAATTCTTTAGATAATTGCCTGAAGTCGTTCGGGCAATGAATTGGTTGCCCATCAAAGTTAATACCTGATCGGCAACACCGATCAGGTTTTTTTATATCTGAATGTTAAAAATATTTTGAATCAATTAATTGTAAAGATTTTGGAGAATGTCATGATGAAATTTAACTACGTATACTTTAGCAACTTTTATTGGACTTACTTTGGTCAAGTGAAAAACCTGATCGCCCATTTGAATAGATCCCATACGCTCAAATAAAAGTTCGGACTTTAGAGAGTCCAAAGGAATACATCATGAATGCACTAAATATTGCTTTACAACAAAATCAAACCATAGAAACTCAACTCAGTTTGCCTTATGAGTTAAAAGAAAAATTTGCATTAAAACATACGCTCGCTTTACAAATCGCTGAGCAACGCCAAACAATTGAAAATATTCTCGATGGTACAGATGACCGTTTATTGGTGATTACTGGCCCATGTTCTATTCATGATGAAAAATCCGCATTGGAATACGCAGATCGCTTAATACAATTACAAGAAAAAGTGTCAGATCAGATCTTTCTAGTGATGCGTGCATATATTGAAAAACCACGTACAACTGTGGGCTGGAAAGGGTTTTTATACGATCCAAATTTAGATGGATCTGCCAATATGCAATTGGGTTTAGAAAAATCACGCCAATTGTATTTACAAATTATTGAAAAAGGCTTGCCGATCGCCAGTGAAATTCTAAGCCCTATGGCAACTGCATATTTTGATGATTTATTGGCTTGGGGTGCAATTGGTGCACGTACCAGTGAATCACAAATCCATCGTGAAATTTCAAGTCATATGCCTTTCAGTATTGGCTTTAAAAATGGTACAGATGGCTCGATTCAAATCGCTTTAGATGCAATTCAATCTGCAAGTCATCCTCATCAATTTCTAGCCATGGGACAGAAGGGATTGCCTTGTATCGTGCATAGTCATGGTAATCCTTTAGCACACATCATTTTACGTGGTTCAAATAAGGGCACAAATTATGATGCAGAATCGATTCAGCAGATCCGCCAACAGCATCAAGGGAAATTACCCGCATTGCTGATTGATTGTAGTCACGGTAACAGCAGTAAAGATCCTTTAAAGCAACCGTTGGTTTTACAGCAAATTATTGAAGAAAGACATGTAACCCAAGTACGTGGTGTAATGCTAGAAAGTCATTTGGTGGATGGTAATCAAAAAATCTCTTGTGATATGACTTATGGTCAATCTGTTACAGACGGTTGTTTGGGTTGGAATAAGACGGAGCAATTGTTGTTGGATGTTGCAGAGCAGCTTTCTGAAAAGACTTTAGCGTTTTCGGCGTAAATACAGTGTGTAATTTATTTTTATAAAGGCTGTACTAGATTAGCAATATGTTAATCTAGTAGCTATATAAGCAGTCATTGAACAGTCTTTTTTTGACAAGTACAAGAAACCAAGCAATTTAAAGAATCCCAATGCTTTTGTTGGTGGGGTTCAAGATGCTGATGATTTGGTTTATTTAAAGCAACGTCACTATAACCCTGTATTAGGAAGATTTTATCAGCCTGATCCAGTGACTTTTATTATGAAAGGTCATGGACAGACCAACCGTTATCAATATGGATGGAATGATACTTATACATTTAGTGATCCGACAGGACAAGCTGCTGTAGTTAAAAATGGTGTTTGGGTTGAAGATGGGATGAGTTTTTACTCTACATCAGGAGGTTCTGTTACTGATTATTTAGGTCAGAATTTTCTTAATGATTTTGCTACTTTAGCACCAACTCCAAAATTTAAATGGCTAACAGGGATAAGTGATTTAATATTTAAACCACAATATGATAATATTATGGATCTTAAGGTATGGCATTCAATACTTACACGCCATTGTCTAAGCCTTGGCTTAATAAGAATATCGCGAAATTACCAACTCCTTCATTTCCACCTGGGATTGAAACTCAAAATAAATTTGGTAGCGATTTTATAAAGTGGGGAAAAGGTCCTGAAGGAGCACTTATAAGATCTCAAAATATTACGAAATTTGAAGTTGCTGTTATGCAAAGTCAGGGGCTTACACTACAAATGGCTAGTCAATGGCGTACTTTTTATGCTAATGAATTTTTTAGGAATGTTCATAATACTACTGCTCAAAACAGAGTTCTGCTAATGAATCGTATTATCGAACATATGGAAAATATAAGAAAATGAAATCTAAACAGAAAATTATATATCAAAATTCTTCTGATGAAGCAATTAAATTAATTATAGAACCGTGGGGGCAAGAACTTTATATTGATTCGAAAGTTAAAGTAGAAATTCAAATTGAAGGAGGCTCTGAGCACGGTTGCTTGATGATAGAATCAATTCAAAAGACGCTAATTTTATATGGATGGGAAGGCAGTATAATTGATGTATATCAAGATGGTGAAAAAATTTTTTAAATTTTATTTTACAACATTGCATCTCACCAACAAACAATAATTAGTGGTTGGGTAAACGGATGTAATGGTTTATATCCAGTCTTAACAAGAATAGATTTAAGAAAATAAGATGAGATCACTTATGAAAAAAATACTTTTTGCATTTGGTTTGAGTGTGCTGTTTAGTAGTTCTGTATTTGCAAATAGTCCATTCTCACCCACAAAAAATAAGTGGATTAGTCGTACATGATAACGGAACAGATATAATTATTGAATTGAAAGCTAATGTAGCGACTGGTGAGGGATGTCAAATAGCAAATCAAGTAGTATTAAGAAAAACTCATCCATTATTCAAAGAAGTATATGCTGCACTTTTATCTGCTTTTCATAGCCAAACTGTAATTCAAGGTTGGATTAATGGTTGCCATACTATAGGAGAAAGTAGACCTATTCTTACTCGCCTTGATTTAAAAAAATAATTTTAATCAAATTTTAAAAACAAAAAAAAGATCAGACTCATCTGATCTTTTTGTGTTTAAGCATTAGGATTTTAAAACTTAAAGCCCAGCTTCATATTCGCTATTGCTGAGCAGCTTTTCAACATCTGCAATATTGTCTGGTTTAATCTTATAAATCCAGCCTTTGCCATAGGGGTCGTCATTCACAAAATCAGGATCATCTTCAAGGGTGGTATTCACTTCCACAACTTCACCAGAAACAGGTGCATGAATATCAGACGCTGTTTTAACGGATTCAACTACACCAGCCTGAGCGCCAGCAACCACATGGCTACCTACTTCAGGCGCTTCAACGTAGACTAAGTCGCCTAAAGCATCTTGAGCATGGTCAGAAATACCAGTAATCACAAGATCACCTTCAATTTTTACCCATTCATGTGTTGCTGCATATTTCAAATCTGAAGGATGATTCATAATGACTCCATTAATCAATTTATTTTTGGCACGAGTTATACAGGTTTTTTAATCAAAACAGAAAGCAGAGATACTGATAAACTTATTCATCGAAACAAATAATCGTGATAAATCACATTATAAGTATGGGTCTTTGCGCCAACTACTTGGGCTACGACCGCTCCAGCGTTTAAATGCACGACTAAAGTTTGCAACATCACTATAACCGAGTTCATCTGCAATTTGTTCCAGTGTATAGTCAGTACGGGAAAGTAACGATGTGGCATGGCGATAACGTACTTCATCTACCAGTGTAGAGAAAGAAGTACCTTCGGCAGCCAACTGACGCTTTAATGTACGGTCTGACATATGCAGACGATCTGCGACATTTTCAATACTTAAATAATGCTGTTCCGAATGAGTCAAGATATCACGTACACGCATCGCCAAGCGGCGTCTTTCACCCAAAGCTGAAAGTTCTGCTTCACATTGATTAATCGCAATTTGACTGGCAATCGGGTCAGCATTGACCATTTTTAAGCCCAAGTAGGATTTGTCAAAACTTGCAATGAGATGCGGCTGTTCAAAACGCATATTGTATTGCTTTGCCAGTTTCTCGATGTATTTGTCAAAACCATCAGGCTTGGGAAAATCAAAGTCGATATCGCCATGCAAATAATCAATACCAGTCAAAGCTTTTGCCATGGTCATAATACCAAAGGTTAGCCCCATCACAATTTCTGTGCGCAAAGGTTCGATTTCGATATCACATTGCAATTGAAGTGTGGCTTTTTCACCAAAAGTAGAAAAATACAATTGTAGAAAGGGCATACGCAACTGGATAAAGCGGTTGGCTAAGACAAGCGCATCGGTAATATCGTGTGCTGTCATGATGGCATAACCAATAAAGCCATGGATTGAAATACGCATTTGTGTACCAAGATGAAAGCCTAAGGTGCTTTCACCTGTAAGTTTTAATGCGTGTTTAATCAATTCATTGGCAAGTGGTGTCGGAATCCGACACTCAGGATCTGCTAACTGTTCGCTGGTAAAATTAAAGGGTGCGAACAGTGTTTCAGCGCTATATCCCCAACGAGAAACAATATCTAATAATAATAGTCCATAAACACCAGGAATTCCCTGATCTTGGCGAGCTGAGACTGTTTTCATGTGCTTTCCATTGCTCTGAACATTGTTTTTACTTGTTTAATCATATTGTCATGATATGGAAAAACCCTTAAATATTGTAAGACAAATTTAGGATTAATGTGCATCAAAATTGCGTTTAAATACCACAATTTTAGTGGTTGAAATTAGCAATACATCATCATCTTGATTTTTTGCTTGTGTTACATAGGTCACAATTGCACGATCATTTTTGGTTTTAGAGGGCTGGATAGATACAATTTCGACATCAACATGTATTTTATCTCCCACACGCGTGGGTTTTGGCCATCTTAAACTTGATTCTGAACCAATTAAGCCATAAGCAACAGGGAAGCATTCTGTCCAAAGACGCATGGTGACGGCAGACGTATGCCATCCACTTGCAGCAAGTCCTTTAAAAATCGGGTGATCTTTGGCTTTTTCAGCATCAGTATGGAAAACTTGAGGATCATACTTATGTGCAAACTCTAAAACCTCATCCAAAGTCATTTCGTACTCACGACTTTTAAAATGATCACCAATATTTAAATCTTCCAAATACAACATTGTTTATACATTCCCTTAATTTCACACAATACTCATAAATGATGATGTTCTACGCATAAAAATTAAATTATTTAAACTTTTTCATTGTAAATCACCATTAAGCAATTTCAATGACTGTTTTGCCAATCATCCATTTTTTTAAGTGGTATTGAAATATCACTCAAAATATCGAGTGATTTGGACCATAATAACATTGTGTAATGTCCTGAAAGTAATGAAAATACGACCAAAGTGAATTGAGCAAGCTTATGACGCGTTAAAGCAATCTTTTAAGCATCCAAACTTCACAAACATGACTATGACCAGTATTACCTTTAGGCTGTGATAAATGTTTAAAGCCTAACTTTTCATAGAGTTTAATGGCTTGCCATAAATCTTGAGTGGTTTCTAAATAACAAGACTGAAAGCCTTGTTGTTGCGCAAATTCAAAACACTTTTCCAAAATTTTCTTAGCAAATCCTAAACCACGAAGTTCAGGCAAAAAATACATCTTTTGAATCTATAAAACAGTTGCATCACCTTGTAATGGTGAAAGACCTCCGCCACCAACAACTCGCCCATTTGCATCCTCAATGACCCAATATTGAGCATTGGGTTGAGCATATACCTGATATAAATCATCCAGGATCGGGTCGGCTACAGCAAAGCCTGATTCAGGTGCTAAGCCAAATTCTTTAGATACCTCACGAATGACTTGTGCGATCGACGGATTGTCTTGTATTTGTATCGTTCTAATTTGGTACATAAGTAAATGAAAATAAAAAAGGTAGAATTTTTATAACAAAATTTCTACCTTTTGTGATCAGTTAAAAATTCAACTGATCAAAACTTTAGCAATTGAATAGTGATAAATAAGTAATTTTACAAGTTTTACTGCAACACTATTTTAATTCGCTTGAAGATTTACCCAATTCTCGACGGGCAATAATCAGCTGTTGAATCTGTTGCGTTCCCTCAAAAATATCTAGAATTTTTGAATCACGCGCCCATTTTTCTAACAATTCATCTTCGTTATAACCCACACTGGCAGCCAACTCTACGCATTTTAAAGTGATTTCATTACAAATACGTCCAGCTTTAGCTTTGGCGATAGAGGCCTCACGAGAGTTTGGTTTTTTGTTATCTGCCATCCATGTGGCTTTTATAGTGAGTAAGCGTGCAGCTTCCCATTCTGCTTCCATCCGATAGATTTGTGCAGCCAAATTGGATGTTTGTAAATATGGAGTTGCATAGTCGGGATCTAGTTCATCTTTAAAGATGTCTTTAATACGTTCTAACGATGCTTTGGCACAGCCCACAGCCATGGCAGCAACAAGTGGACGGGTATTATCAAAGGTTTCCATCACGCCCGCAAAACCTTTGGCTACATCAATTTCTGCATTACCAAGTAAATTTGCTCCAGGGACACGGCAGTCAATAAAACTAATTGCCGCTGTATCGGATGCCTTAATGCCAAGTTTATGTTCAAGGCGTTCAACTTTCATTCCAGGTGTACCTTTAGGCACAACAAAAGATTTAATTGCAGCACGGCCCAATTTCTTATCTAAAGTTGCCCAAACCACGACTGAGTCAGCACGTTCCCCAGAGGTGACAAATATTTTTTCACCGTTCAGAATGTAATCATCACCATCTTTGGTTGCGGTTGTGCGAATCGCAGCAGAGTCAGAACCACAACCAGGTTCAGTAATGGCCATTGCAGCCCATGTCCCCTTAAAACGCTCAAGCTGTTCATCATTGGCGACTGCCGCAATCGCAGAATTGCCCAGCCCTTGACGGGGCATGGTCAGCAATAGGCCTGTATCGCCATAACACATTTCGATTACACCCAAGGCAGTCGACATATTGGTGCCATTTTTATTATTACTGTCGATATCGCCACGTTTATTAATTGCAGCGCCAGCATTAAGCCCATCACCACCGTCGTTCATACCATCCAGTAAAGAAGCCAGCATATCGAGTTCTTTAGGATAGGCATGTTCCGCTTTGTCGTATTTACGAGAAATTGGGCGTAAAACATTCAATGCAGTTTCGTGTGCTTGATCTAAAAGCATTTGGAATTTTTTTGGATTTTGTAAATTCATGATTTTTATCCTTTATCTTCTAAGTTAAGCGTGTAAGCCAGAATGTAGAACGGCAGTTGCACGTAAGTCGCGGTACCAACGCTCAGCCGGATGTTCCTTAGTAAAACCATGTCCACCTAAAATTTGCACACCATCTGTACCAATTTTCATAGATTTTTCTGCACAAAGTAGACGGGCTAAATACGCTTCTCTATGGAAGGGTTGTCCTGCTTCTGCAAGACTGGCAGCATTTAAAATCAGCATACGCATTGCATCAATTTCAATCGCCATATCTGCGATCATAAATGCCACACTTTGACGGTGTGAGATAGGTTCACCAAATGCAGTACGTTCATTGGCATATTTGATACTGTAATCTTTAACCGCTTCACAGCTACCAACAGCCATTGCACACCACATTAGATTGCCTAAATCTAAAAATGCAGCGTAATTAAAATCGTCGTCACCTAGACGTTGGGCAGGGGTATTGTCAAACTTCAAAGTTACCGTTTCAGTTGCTTTTAAACCCATTGCCGGTGATTTTTTCACTGTAATACTTGGATCTCGCTTTACAACGAAAACGTCCGCTTGACCCTTAAAGTCAGCACTAACAAGGAATAAATCCGCTGTTGCACCCAATAGCACTAAAGTTTTTTCTCCAGTAATGCTGAATTGTCCATTGTTGGCAGTTGCTTTAGTTTTTAAACGTAATGGATTAAATGCAGGGGTTGCTTCTTGTACTGCAAAAGTGGCTTGAATATCAGTATCATTGGCAAAATTTGCTAAATAAACAGATTGAACTTTTTCAGAACCCCATTGCGTGATTGCATTGATAACACTAAAAGTAGAGAGCAGACCTGCAGCAAGTGAGAAATCACCTTTAGCCAAGCGTTCAGCAATTAAAATATTACTCACAATATTTTTTTCAGATGCGACACCACCTAAAGCTTCAGGCAGTGCATAGTAATTTAGACCTAAATCGGTACTGTGTTGCCAAAGCTCAGCTGGAAACTTTTCCTCGTGATCCGCTTGATGAGCCAATTGATAAAGTACTTCGGAAGCAAATTGATCCATGGCATCCACCGTCATTTGCTGCTCTTCAGTCAAACTCAGATCAAATAGGGACTTTTGCTGATTGGGTAGACGTTGTTTAGTTACATTTGAATCTGATTTAAATGCTTTTTGAGTTGCGCTTAAGGTTTTAAAACCTGCTTTAGAACCTTGATAAAGAGATCTTTCAATAAATTTACGCAACTTAAACTGATCAAGTAAGTCACTACCTGCAATTTTAGTAATTAGATTTAAACCCAAACCTTGAGCTTTATTTACCATATTGGTCATGCCGAAGTCCCTGTATTTTAGTGTCGGTATACAATAATCCTGACATGCATAAAAATAAAAAACTATGTCAAAGCTGACAAAGTGATTGACCTTAGATGAATGGTTGAGTAGATGATATATTTGTTATTAATATTCTGATTTTTATTGTTTATTTTTAAATAAAAAAACCCAACATTTGTTGGGTATTGGTAAAAGTGACATTTTTAAAACTTTTACAATCTCGTTTAGCCTGTATGAAAACTAAAAAGATTAAACAAAAGGTACAATCATTTTACGAACATTGGTCTTTGCTTCAATCACCGTCATAAATGTATAAGCACCAATAAATTTACGACTGATAAACATAAATTCTTTTGGTGGAATACTGAAATAACGTGAAGCCATTGATTTTGAAGCACGTTGCATCACACGGCTATGTAGCTGGCTTTTTTTCCAGTCATAGCGGTTATGTTGATCCATCACCCCAGCAGGTAAATCTGGATTATTTAAAGGTGTACTAAATGCTTCTGTTGCTAATAAAAATACTTTTGCCATATCGGGTTTAATGCTTAAAGGCATTGCATCAAAGAACTCATAGCCCGACATCGCATTGACCATTGCTTCAGCATCGTGGTTATAACCCGCTTTGATTAAATTACAAGCTACGCGAAGTAATTGGTCATCGAACTGACGTATAGCGCCAAAATCTAACAAAATAATTTTATCTTTTATCTCTTCACCATTGCCCAAGCGAACAAGGTAATTGCCAAAGTTCGGGTCGGTTTGCATTTCGCCCCACTCAAACAATTCACGAACTGCGATTTCAAGTGATGCTTCACCTAAAAGATTACGTCGCTCTTGTGGTAAAGACAGCATGACAGGGCTGTTGATGGGTACACCACGTTCAAAGGTCATACAAAGGACTTGATTGGTACAATAGTCATCAATAATTTGTGGCACACCATAACGTGGATCTTCTTTAAGTCGCTGGCCAAAACGACGGGTTGTTGCCGCTTCAACTTTATAATCAACTTCACGATGCATCATTTCACGCACTTCATCAAACCACTGATCGAACTCACGGGTTTGTGGCACCATACGTGTCAATTTAAGCATATTTCGAAATAGGCTCATATCTGAGTCTATGGCATCAGCTACACCTGGATATTGGATTTTAAGAACCAGCTCTAATCCATCTGACTTACGTGTTGCGCGGTGAACCTGAGCCAGCGAAGCCGTACCAATCGGTTCATGATCAATGGTGAGATCGTTGAGTTTTGAACCCAATTGACTGACCAATTGCTCTTTAATCGCAGGCCATGCAAGGGCAACTGTTTGATTATTGAGGGTGTTTAATGCTTGAGTTATTTCTTCAGGTAAAAAATGCTCGCCATAAAGCGCCATCATTTGACCGATTTTAACAATTGAACCTTTTAGCTTGCCAATTTCCTGAACAAGATAATTGGCTTGTTCTTTCATAGCTTGTTTACGTTTTTTTTCTTTTTCTTCTTCACTTGAAAAGATTGAACTCGCACTTGAAGCTGCCCAGCGTGTACCTGCCAATAATGATGCTTTTGCAATTGATAAGCGACGATCCATTGATGAGGTTTTTAACTGTTTGAGCTTTTCGTTCTGATCTGACATGAAGATAAAATCCTTTATAAGAGATTCGAAAAGATAAAAAGATGACTAATTGTAAGGAATATTACATGGAATGACTGTATTTAAACAGTTCAATTCGCTGAATGGGGGAATTAAATTAATTCCATCAAAATAGCCTAAGCAATATTAAAATTTACATTCTAAATTGGATTTTAAGCTCTTTGCGGAGTATTAAACCTTGCTTATTTGAAGCAATGTAATTAATGATCAGATCTTTAACGCTTTGATTAGTAAAGCCCAGCGCATAGCCTTTAACAATGATAATGCTGGGCAAGCTAAAGAAAAAATATTTTACATCGTCTAGAGAAGGCGCTTCGTAAACACCTTGTTCAGTGAGGGTTTGTTGAAAAAACTGCTTTTCAATTTTGACATTTGGAGTGGATTCATCATCCCACCATGACTGACGCATCGCCATGAGGTTATTATGTTTGTAGCTCATAAATTGACTAAATTCATAAATATTTAAAAACTTGTTGTATATATAAAGGTGAAATGAGCCAATTTCAAGTTAACTACTCAATCTCAGCAATTTTGCCACAAATAAGTTTATATTTTATAACCATGAAGATTGATTTGTTTTAAAAATATACAATAATAGGCTTGAAAATAAATCTAAAAAATTATGTGCATTGTGAAAAAAATTTTAGGACTTTGGCTGTTATTTTATATCCCTACGACTTTAGCTAAAGCTTATACCTGTGTATATAAAGGAAATACCGTATATCAAAGTAAACCTTGTGCGGGTACAGTGGCTAAAAATAATATCAATTACTCTCAAAAATCGTTAACTGATCGTCAAAAATATGAACAATGGAAATCCACACGTGAGCCGAAAGTCGGAATGTCTGGAGATCAAGTGATTAAAACGATCCGTTGGGGAGCTCCTGAAAAGAAACGTTCGTTTAGCTCAAATAGAGGTAAAGACGAGCTTTGGTATTATCCAGAACTAGGCTTAATTTCATTAAAAAATGGTGTAGTCACATCCATCAGTCAATAGTCGGCGAGATTTTTCACAGTGGTGATTGTTTTAAATCAAGTTTTAACAATAATTTATCTGCAATGATTGTATTTAGTTTCAAATCTTTTACACTCTTTTACATAAGGGATTGTTGCTAATCAGTGCCTTAGTTCTTTTGATTAAAAGTATTTGGATTAAAATAATGATTTTGGGATAGGGGAATTGGATGTATTTAAAGTATTGGGGTATCAGTTTAGTTGTATTATTGCCGATGCACACGCAGGCGATCGGTTATAGCTCAGACTATTTAAGCTGTATGAATTCGGCAGGTTCAAGCTCGGCAACACTTGCCAGCTGTATGAAAACAGAGTTGAGTAAGCAAGATGATCGTTTGAAATCATTATTTAAACAGACACTGGACCTGTATACAGACAAGCAACAGAAAGCTCAAAGGAAATATCAAAAACAATGGTTTAAACTTCGAGATCAACAGTGTGATGAGTCAAATAAATCAGTTTCTGATGATTATAAAATGAAGTATTACAATTGTGCCCTCAAACAATCAGTCAATAGAGCCAATATGTTAGAGAAACAAAGCTATCGTTTATAGTGCTTTATTGCGCTATAAAATAATTGCTAAGTAAATTGTCGTAAAGCATTATAAATGTCATGCAAAACAAGGTATCATAAGGCGTTTAAAAATATGACCTTGGAGAAACCTTAAGTGGATCGACCGACTATTAGCCCTGAACATTTACAGGAAGCTGCTGAAAACCTATCAACAATTCGTGATTTTATTCGTTTTGGGGTTACAGCTTTACGTCAATACGATGCACATTTGGGTCAAGGTACAGAAGATTATTTCGCAGAAAGTTCTGCCTTGGTTTTACAAACGCTTTCTTTGGAATGGAAGGCGGATGCTGAAATTTTAGATTCAAAATTATTGCCAAGTGAAAAAGCTGAGTTTTTAAATCTACTCGAACGTCGTGTAAATGAAAGAATTCCAACCTCTTATTTACTTAACCTCTCTTATTTCTTTGGTAAGCCATTCTATGTTGATGAGCGTGTGTTAATTCCTCGTTCACCAATTGCTGAATTGATCGAAAACCGTTTTGCACCTTATTGTTTAGATGAAAATGGGCAAACGCGTGCAGGCGTGAATAATTTACCTGAAAACCCAAATCCTAAAACACCACAGCGTATCTTAGATATGTGTACGGGTTCAGGTTGTATTGCGATCGCGCTGGCATATGCATTCCCTGATTCAGAAGTAGATGCAACTGATATTTCTAAAGAAGCATTAGAAGTGGCTTCTATTAATGCGGAGCATCACAATAAGCAATATCAGGTGGCTTTGCTTGAGTCTGATTTGTTTGCCAAAATTCCAGCTGAAAATCAATATGATTTGATCGTTTCAAATCCACCCTATGTGGATGCCGAAGATATGGCAGATCTCCCGGATGAATTTCATCATGAGCCTGAACTTGCTTTAGCTGCGGGTCAAGATGGTTTGGATTTAGTTCGAAAAATGTTGGCTCAAGCTGCTGATTATTTAACTGAAGACGGTTTAATCGTAATTGAAGTGGGTAACTCAGAATGGGCAATGAAACAGAATTTTAATACGATTGATTTTTACTGGTTACAGTTCCAAAAAGGCGGTACAGGTATTTTTGCTTTGACTGCTGAACAATGTCGTACATTCCGTGATTTATTTATTCAATCTATTCAAGCTTAAGGAGTCGTAAGCATGGCAGGTAACAGTATTGGACAACTCTTCCGTGTAACGACTTGTGGTGAATCTCACGGCGTAGGCTTGATGGCAATTGTTGACGGTGTGCCACCGGGTCTTGAATTATCTGCTGAAGATTTACAAATTGATTTAGATCGTCGTAAACCGGGAACGTCTAAGTTTGCCACTCAACGTAAAGAGCCAGATGAGGTTGAAATCATTTCTGGAGTTTTTGAAGGTAAAACGACAGGAACTTCAATTGGTTTATTGATCCGTAATACAGATCAAAAATCTAAAGATTATGGCAATATTGCGCAAACTTTCCGTCCAGGCCATGCAGATTACACCTATACGCAAAAGTATGGTTTCCGTGATTATCGTGGTGGTGGTCGTTCAAGTGCACGTGAAACGGCGATGCGTGTGGCAGCGGGTGCGATTGCAAAGAAATTTCTTTTTGAGAAATTTGCGATAGTGATTCGTGGTCATGTGACGCAAATTGGTACAGAAAAAGCACAAGCTTTAGATTGGAATGAAGTCCCGAATAATCCGTTTTTCTGTGGTGATGTCAATGCAGTTCCACGTTTTGAGGCGCTGGTGACATCACTACGTGAACAGGGGACCAGTTGTGGTGCAAAGCTTGAGATCCTTGCCGAAAAAGTACCTGTAGGTTGGGGTGAACCCGTATTTGATCGTTTAGATGCTGATATTGCCCATGCCATGATGTCAATCAATGCGGTGAAGGGTGTTGAAATTGGTGATGGTTTTGCAGTTGCAGAACAATTTGGCCATGAAACCCGTGATGAACTTAGCACAGATGGGTTTTTAGCCAATCATGCTGGTGGTATTCTCGGTGGTATTTCTTCAGGCCAAACCATCCGTGTAGCGATTGCGTTAAAACCAACCGCAAGTATTACTACACCAGGGAAAACCATTAATCTAGATCGTGAAGATACAGATGTACTCACCAAAGGTCGTCATGATCCTTGTGTGGGCGTGCGTGCGACACCTATTGCTGAAGCCATGCTTGCCATTGTATTGATGGACCATTTTATGCGTCATCGTGCACAAAATGCGGATGTGGTTGCACCATTTGCCCCAATTGAACCTAAATAGCAAATATATTTGAGATAAGAGAGGGTATTTTAGTTTTGAAATACCTTTAATTATTAGGGTAAATTTCAAATGATTTTTTTTACTTAATAGTTGTTGCTCAACAAATTTAGCTGAATGATCTTGGATTCATTATTTTAAGTTAAAGATTTTGAATAAAAAACCAGACATTTTGTCTGGTTTTTTATATCTATGCTGCTCAGTCTTATTGAGTAACAATTTGGCCTGTATAACCTTTTAAGAACGTCAGATACGCAGAAGACTGTTGACCATCTGCCTTTAAGATTGAACGTTCAACATCACCCTGATTGGTTACCAATTTAAGTGAAATTTCTTTACCATTACGGAATGAGTTAAGAAAGCTGACAGGAACATTAATCGAGTTTGATGAAACTGTACCCGCATATTGTGTCGTGTTAATGGTTGAATATGTATATGGCTGACCATCCACTAAGAAGACAAATTGGGTAATATCATATTTTGTTGGATTGTTAATTTCTGCTGTGATTTTAAAGCCATCACGGACTTCATCTTTCCAACGCATAGAAAGTTCAGGGCAAACTTCATTTGCTTCACAGATTAAAGGGCCTTTTGTAACAACTCTTTCTGGATAAGAGCCAGCACAACCCGCCAAAGTTAAACATGCTAAAGAAGAAATTACCGCAAATTGAAGTTTCATACCGCTTCCTAATAAGTTCATTTGTGTTATTGATATGTTGATAATCTATGTAAAATTTACCGCTTTTTAGTTAAAAAGTGAATTAAATATTTCAGTAATTTGTATTTCAGTTAAGGCATAGCATAAATCTTAAACAAAATTTAAGATTTTTAATATTTCCTTTGCTACATTTTCAGTTAATTGATTTAAACGAGTCAACGGCTCACCTTCAATAAAATATTTAAAATTCGACAATGTGTTTTGATAATGGACTGAGATAAAAAAAGTACCTTCTGGTTTTTCAATACTAGCACTACCACCAGGTTTAAGTAAGCCGGTACAACTGACAACGATATCTGCAGCGCTAAAGAGCTTTTTCCCTTGAATTGCCATCGCTTTAGTGACTTCAACTGATTCAGCGCTATATTTTTCGATGAGGGATGGATCTATCTGTAAAATTGAAATTTTAATAGAAGGGTCGTAACTGACTAAGCCACCTAATAAAATATCTGCACCACTATTTTTATAGATCGAAAATTGGCTGGATAAATAACCAGAACTTGCACTTTCAATAAATGCGACTGTTAAATTCTTTCTTTCAAGCAGATCACAACATTGTTTTAAAAGCATTGGTATGACTCTAAATTAATTATTTATATTCAATAATTTAACTATAAGTGAATTGAGGGAATTTGCAAGAAAATCAAATAAAAAATAAGCATATCGAGTCATAAATTTAATTATTTTTTTAATTTTTTTAAATATAAATCATGATGTTAGCTCCATATGGCTTGTCAGAGACAAAATTAATCAAAAGAACGCTGAGTTGAAATAAGTTTGTCATATTCATTTGCCATAATGATTGCACAAACAACAAAAGCCAAGAATAAGCATCAAATAACAATCAAAGAAAGTTAAAAGAATAATCAGCGTAAAGTCTGTAAATATGCAGTCAACCCACTTCTCAACAGGTGGGTTTTCCTTTTTTGGGCCAATTGTAGAATTACTATGCAATATGATGAATTTTTATATTTCAAATGCGTCAAAAAGTGATATAAATAAAAATAAAGTGCATATGAAAATGGAGTGCGAATGATGAAAACGACTGTTAAGTATGTTGTCTTAAAAAGTAGAGAATATCAGCTTGGCACAGCCTTATTTGAAGAAAGTATTGAAGCCGAAGGAAATTATTTTGATCAAATACCTGAGATCATTCACTATCAAAATCATAATTTTAAAGTAAAGTCCAAAGAACTTAGCCGTAAGCAAATTTTTGATGATTTTGAAGAATCTCAAACCATTTTAGTCAAAGTTATCGCAGTTTAATAATTTTCCTAAGTTATCTTTGATATGGACATTGCATAAATAAAACCCAGTTAAACTGGGTTTTATTTATTTGGTAATTTAATCAATCACTGTTTAACAATCAATACAGGGAGTTTGGTTTGACCCAGTACATCTTGCGCAAAGCTGCCTAAGAAAAACTTTTGGAAGCCTTTACGCCCATGTGATCCCATGATAATTAAATCTGTATGTAATGATTCAGCAGTTTTAATGATGGTTTCTGCTGCAACCGAGTCTCTCACGACTTGTGTATCAATTTGAACACCTTGCTGTTCAGCCAATTGTTTGGCTTTACTCAAACCTTCTTCCGCATTTTTAATTGCTTCTTGAATGTAATCTTTTAACATATCTGGCGAATAGTAAAAATCAGCAGCAGCAAAAGGGTCTTCAGCAACGACACTGATCGCAGTGACTTTGCTTCCAAAGGCTTTTGCAATCGCAGCAGCATGTTTTAATGCAGAAAAAGAAATGTCAGAACCGTCAACTGGGACAAGAATATTTTGATAACTCATAATCACACCTTTTTAATTAACATTTCAAATAAAAATTAAGCTTCTTCTTGGGTAGATTTAATAATCAACACAGGCAGTGGAGAAATAGACAACACTTCTTGTGCAACACTCCCTAAGAAGAATTTCTTCAGACCAGTACGTCCATGGGAACCCATCACAATAAGGTCCACATTGAGTTCATCTGCAACATCTAAAATTCCAGTAGCAGGAGGAACTTCACGCACCACTTTGGTATCTACTGTTGTTACACCATGGTGAACTAAAGTTTCTTGAATATCTTTTAAACGTGCTAAAGCATTTTTTTCAGCTTCAAATAAATATTGAGTTACAGCAGGCGCTATTTTATAAAAATCGACGCCTTTAAAAGGATCAACTGCGATCACACTCATCACAGTAATTTTACAGTTAAAAGCAAGTGCAATTTTCTCTGCATGTTCAAGTGCAGCATAAGAAATAGGAGAGTCATCTACAGCAAGCAGTATGTGTTGATAAGCCATTATAAGTTTCTCTCTCTTTTGTCTGATTATTTATTCATTGATACCACATTGCGCTGTTAGTCGCAAATTGTCGATGAGAATTTTAGTTGATCAAAAGTGTGTTATTTCAAGCTTTTGTGAAATACACATAATTTTATTATGGTTTTATTTTGTAACGTTTAATTGTCCTGATTTTTTATTGAAATCTCGCTCATGTAAATTTGAACTCCGGTTTTAGGTTAGCGTTCTAAATATGATGCATTTTGAATTCTTACGATTCTAAAAACTGGCATGATAAATGCTTTAATTTAATGCAAACCGATATTTATGAATAAAATTTTGGCATCAATTTGGAACATTTTAAATCAAGTGCCATAGATAAGTGGATCAGTATGAAAATTTATACGCAACGTCTAGACCATATAGAGTCAAACATTGAGGCTGAAAGTATTGAATTGACTTTTAATACTCGGCAAAAGAGCCGTTTTCGTGCAACTTTAAATAATGGGCGCGATATTGGTGCGGATTTACCACGTACAGGCATTTTGCGTAGTGGTTCTTATATTGCAACTGAACAAGGTGAAGTGTTACGTGTAGATGCCAAAGCTGAAAAATTAATGCAAGTTTCGGCGCTGCATAGTTTTGACTTACTTAAAGCTGCATATCATCTGGGAAATCGCCATGTTCCGTTAATGCTTACCCCAACAGCACTTTATTTTGAGCCTGATCATGTCCTTGCAGAAATGATCCAAGGTTTAGGGCTGACAGTAGATGAAGTTGAACATCCATTTGAACCTGAAAGTGGGGCATATGCACAACATCAGCATGATCATCGTTTAAGCCCGATTAAGGCTTTACATCATGTCCATCACTAACGCATCGCAACTATTAAGTCTATTGACCCTGTCATCGACAGCTTTACCGATAGGTGCATATTGTTATTCGCAAGGGGTGGAAAGTGCGATTGATCAAGGCTTGATTCATGATGAAGCAAGCAGTATTGCTTATTTTGAAGAAGTACTGGAAATGTTGCTGGTTAGGTTTGAACTCCCCGTTTTAAAACGTCTGATGCAACATTATTTAGACGAAGCTGAATTTTTAAATTGGGCTAACTTTTATAAAGCGAGCCGTGAGTCGAAAGAATTACGGGCTGAATCTCAGCAGTTGGCATTTTCTTTGAATGCTTGGATTCGTGATGTTTTAAAACAGCAACCTGAGATTAAAAAGCAGTTTGGTTTTGTCCCTGTTTATGCACATTTATGCGGAACATTAAAACTTAATCTGGTGGATGTGCTGACAGCATATAGCTTTACTGTTTTAGAAAACCAAGTGCTAGGTGCGGTTAAAACTGTCCCTTTAGGGCAAATGAGTGGTCAAAGAATTTTGTGGCATTTACATGGCTTAATTCCTCAAGCCATAGTGCGTGCCTTGGCCTTAGAAGATGATGAGTTAAGTAGTGCTTTGCCCAATTATGCGATGTTAAGTATGTCGCATGAAACTTTATATTCACGATTATTCAGATCATAAATGACACGTTTCATTCGCTATTTTTATTGAGAATGAAGCATAGAAAAGGAAAAAATGATGACAGAACGTAGCCCTTTACGTGTTGGAATAGGTGGTCCTGTTGGTTCAGGTAAAACAGCATTAACCCTGAATTTATGCCTTGCTTTACGCAACAAATATAATATGGCGGTTGTGACCAACGATATCTATACCAAAGAAGATTCTAATTTTTTAACTCGTCATGAAGCGATGTCACCAGAACGTATTGTTGGTGTTGAGACAGGTGGTTGTCCACATACTGCAATTCGTGAAGATGCTTCAATTAACTTGGCTGCAATCGATGATCTTTGTGAAAAATTTGATGGTTTAGAGATGATTATTATCGAAAGTGGTGGAGATAATCTAGCCGCTACCTTTAGTCCCGAATTATCTGATTTAACCCTTTATGTGATTGATGTTGCAGGTGGTGAAAAGATCCCGCGTAAAGGTGGTCCCGGCATTACCAAGTCGGATTTATTGATTATTAACAAAACAGATTTAGCTCCAATGGTCGGTGCAAATCTCGATGTGATGGATCAAGATGCAAAACGCATGCGTGGTGACAAACCTTTTCTATTTTCAAATATGAAAACTCAAGATGGTTTAAAGCAAATCATTGAGTTTATTGAGAAACAAGGTTTATTTAAAGCTTAGCTAGTGTAGAGATTAAAGCTTATTCGCGATATTAAAAATAATTGTAACTATTTGAATTGAAAAATAATCAAAGGAGAATTTGAATGCATTTTTTAAAACACAGTCTGATGGCATGTGCTGCATATTTACCTGTATTGGCTTTAGCTCATCCTGGACATGATCACCATACCGGTTTTTGGGCAGGCTTTATTCATCCATTTACAGGTTTAGATCATTTGATGATGGCAATCGCATTTGGTGTATTGATGTGGACGGCAAATCAACGCTGGAAGCTTTTCGGCTTGATTGGATTAGCTGTAGCGATGGTGATTGGATTTATGATCGGTAGCCAAGGATTTATTCCAGCAGCAGTTGCTGAGTACGGCATTATTGCGTCATTGGTTTTATTGACTATAGCGCTTTGGACAAAATCAAATCAAATTTTACCTATTGCAGCGGTTTTATTGGCAAGTTTTCACGGTGTTGCACACGGAACTGAATTAGGCCAATCAGGTCATGCTAGCTTACTGATTTTAGGTATGGTGACAGCAATGGCATTGATCTATGTAGGTGGATTAGGTATTGGTGCTTTTATCAAAAAATACGTCCCATATGGCAAGAAAATTATTGGTACTTTGGCTGCAATCGTTGCAGTTATTGGTTTGGCTTAATGTTTAAACGTTTAATTGCTGATATCAATTTATAAAGGTGGCCATGATAAGTTTAGTGGAACATCTTCCTGATCAGCGCCTTTGGTATGCCAAACTCGAATTGGGTTTTCAGGTCCAAACTGAGCGAACGGTATTGGCGCATCGTAGACATTTTGGACCTGTACGTGTGCAAAAGATGCTGTGGCCAGAAAAAACTGGAATTTGTCATGCGATTATTGTCCATCCGCCTGCGGGTATTGCAGGTGGTGATCATTTAACATTTGAGATCAATGTAGATGCTGCTGCCCATGCCTTAGTCACAACCCCTGGTGCTGGTAAATGGTATCGGACCAATGGCAAACAAGCTTATCAACATATCCATATCTCAGTTAAACACAATGCTGTATTTGAATGGCTTCCTCAAGAAACCATGTTATTTGATGGTGCCAATGCTCACTCAGAAACCTTGATTCAGCTTGATCAGACAGCAAGCTTTATCGGTTGGGATATGTTGGTGATTGGTCGACAAGCTCGAGATGAAAAATTCCAATCTGGTGCTTATCACAGTTATTTTAAATTATGGCGAAATCAGCAATTACTGGTGGCAGACACATTGAATTTTAAAGGCAATGATCGTTGGCTAAGTTCTTGTCTAGGCATGAATAATCATGCCGTTATGGGGAGTTTATGGGCAGTTCCTCCTGAAAAATTTCGTACAAACATTTATTTAGAGGCACATATCGATTTAATTCGTGAGTTGATGATGCGAATGGATATGCCTGTAAGGTTAACCTTATTGGGTGATGTCATCAGTGCACGTTTTTTAGGCGATGATGTTCGACATTGCCATGACGCCTTTGCAGCAATTCGCGCCAGATTAAGGCGATATTGGTTTGATTTGGATGAAGCATTTCCACGCATTTGGCGAACTTGATTCATTTAAAGATCACCTTTTAGAAATAAAATCTGCGTGTTTGATTTAAAACTGAGCACATATTTTGCATAAAAAATGTGAGAACTTTAGGAAATACATATGGAACTCAATCCTACTGAAAAAGACAAACTGCTGATTTTTACAGCGGGTTTAGTTGCAGAACGTCGCAAAGCACGTGGATTAAAACTCAATTATCCTGAATCTATTGCATTTATTTCCGCAGCACTGCTTGAAGGTGCACGAGATGGAATGACCGTCAGTGAATTGATGCATTTTGGCACCACTTTACTCAGTCGTGATGATGTGATGGAGGGTGTGCCTGAGATGATTGCCGAAGTGCAGGTAGAGGCTACTTTTCCAGATGGCTCGAAGCTCGTCACAGTCCATCAACCGATTGTATAGAACACTTCTTCAAAATTAGGATAAGCATATGATCCCTGGTGAAATTATTACACCTGATTGTGATATTGAAATGAATGTCGGTCGTGAAGTACTAAAAATTTCAGTGTCAAATATAGGTGATCGGCCGATTCAAGTGGGTTCACATTTTCATTTTTATGAAGCCAACGATGCTTTGCAATTTGATCGTGAACGTGCCAAAGGTTTTCGTTTAAATATTGCGGCTGGTACAGCGGTTCGGTTTGAACCGGGGCAGCGACGTGATGTAGAAATCGTTGCACTGGTCGGAAAACGTGAAGTCTATGGTTTCGCAGGGCGTGTGATGGGTAAGTTGGACTAAAAGGATAATCAAAATGAAAATGTCACGTCGAGCTTATGCTGAAATGTTTGGTCCTACCGTTGGGGATCGAGTACGTTTAGCAGATACCGAACTTTTTATAGAAGTTGAACAAGACCTCACCACCTATGGTGAAGAAGTTAAATTTGGTGGTGGTAAAGTTATCCGCGATGGGATGGGACAATCTCAATTACTTGCAGCAGATGTTGCCGATACGGTGATTACCAACGCATTGATTGTCGATTGGTGGGGAATTATTAAAGCCGATGTGGGATTAAAAAATGGGCGAATTTGGAAAATAGGTAAAGCCGGCAATCCTGATATTCAACCTGATATTACCATTCCACTTGGTGCGGCCACTGAGGTGATTGCAGGTGAAGGGCAAATACTTACAGCTGGTGGAATAGATACCCATATTCATTGGATTTGCCCACAACAAGTTGAAACAGCATTAATGTCGGGAACAACGACCATGATTGGTGGTGGTACTGGTCCTGCTGCAGGAACATCGGCAACAACGGTAACACCGGGGCCATGGCATATTTCAACCATGCTGCAAGCCATTGATGATTTACCTATGAATATTGGCTTATTGGGTAAAGGTAATTTGAGTCAACCTGAACCGATTGCGGAGCAGATTAAAGCAGGTGTGGTGGGGTTGAAATTGCATGAAGACTGGGGTTCTACCCCTGCTGCAATTGATAATTGTCTAACTGTGGCAGATGAATATGATGTACAAGTGGCGATTCATACCGATACTTTAAATGAAAGTGGGTTTCTTGAAGAAACACTGGGGGCATTTAAAAATCGTACTATTCACACTTATCATACTGAGGGTGCGGGTGGTGGTCATGCACCTGATATTTTAAAAGCCATTGGTCAAGCAAATGTTTTACCATCTTCAACCAATCCAACCCGCCCATATACCATCAATACCATTGATGAACACTTAGACATGCTCATGGTCTGCCACCATTTAGATCCAGCGATAGCTGAAGATGTCGCATTTGCTGAGAGTCGTATTCGTCGTGAAACGATTGCAGCAGAAGATATTTTGCAAGATCTCGGCGCAATTTCAATGATGTCTTCTGATTCTCAAGCCATGGGGCGTGTGGGTGAGGTGATTTTACGTACTTGGCAAACGGCGCATAAAATGAAAGTGCAACTTGGGCCATTGGAAGGTGATAATCCGTACCATGATAATAATCGGGTGAAGCGTTATATTGCAAAATATACAATAAATCCCGCCATTACTCATGGTTTAAGCCACGAAATTGGTTCTATAGAAGAAGGGAAACTTGCTGATTTGGTGTTGTGGAAACCTGCATTTTTTGGGGTAAAACCATCGATGATCATTAAAGGTGGAATGATTGCGGCAGCGCCAATGGGGGATATTAATGCCTCAATTCCAACACCACAGCCGGTACATTACCGTCCAATGTTTGGGGCGTATCCAAGAGGCGTGCATAATACCTGTATTACTTTCTTGTCACAGGCCGCAATTGAACTTGGTGTTGCTGAAAAATTACAATTAAAGAAGTTAATTTCACCTTGTAAAAATACCAGAAACATCACTAAACAAGACATGAAGCATAATAGCTATTGTCCTGTTATGGATGTGCATCCTGAAACCTATGAAGTTCGTGCCGATGGTGTACATCTAACTTGTGAAGCTGCTGAAGTATTACCAATGGCACAGCGTTATTTCTTGTTTTAATTCTATGTATATCAACAGCAACAAGAAGATAAAACTCCTTTCTTATGATAAGAGAGGAGTTTTTCTATTTAAAATCAATTGATCTATACCCAATGCAACCAAAGACAACTTTATTTATTCAAAAAGCTATGTTTAATATTGGGTGGTATAGGTACTGCGATATAACCCTTTTCTTTTTTTGAGTTTTATTGATGACGCAATTTTGGTCTAAATTTTTTTCCAAGTTATTTTCTACGTTGTTTTCAAAACCATTGAATCAACAGCAGCGCGAATCGAATAAACATCATCAAGCTTATTCTGGTTCAGACGTTGCAGTAGCCGTGGATACAGGTGCTAAGGAGATTGGCTTTGCCCAAGATCAAATTACTCATGTGAGTCCTCAAGGTGTGGATTTGATTTGTGGTTTTGAGGGATTAGAGCTTAAAGCCTATGATGATGGTGTCGGTGTGTGTACTATCGGTTATGGAACAACGATTTACCCGCATGGAAAAGCTGTCCAGTATGGTGATACTTGTACCATTGAACAAGCAAAAAACTATATGCAATATGACCTTAGACGTTTTGAGCAAGCAGTAACTGCTGCTGTAAATGTGCCGTTAAATCAAAATCAGTTTGATGCGTTGGTTTCATTGAGCTATAACATTGGTATTGGTGCTTTTAAAAATTCAACTTTATTAAAATTATTGAACGCCTCTGATTATCACGCTGCCAGTGATCAATTTGATGTTTGGATCAAAGCAGGTGGCAAAACAGTACAAGGTTTAGTAAACCGAAGAGCAGTAGAGAAACTCTTATTTAACTCATAATTTTAAAGCTCTTTGCTAAATTAAAAAATGCTCATCTGGAGTGAATCATATAGCTATAGAAGGTTCCTTCTCCCTTGGGGGAGAAGGCTAGGATGAGGGGGCTTTTATGTTAATTTATGATTTAAAAAAGAGCTGATGAAAGAAGCCTTTTGAAAATGAAGATGATTTTTAAAATATCAAAAAAGAGAAAAATATAAGGGCCAATTTGATGATTAGAGTATTAAAAATAGCAATTTTTATTGCTTTTATAGGGATGAATAAATTTGCGTATGCTGATGTGCGGTCTGAATTAAATTTAATAAGCCAAGATTTATTAATAGCATGTAAAAATGAAGATGATTATAGACCAATAAAAAATTTGAATAACTTCTTAAATGACTCAAAAGGAAGTGATATTCATGTATATGATCTTATGTTTATATTTAATTCAGATTTTTTACTTTTTATAAAAGATAAAAATTGTGCTTTGGCAGCAAGTAAATTTTCAGCTAATGGTATTTCAATTAAAGAAAAATATTTTAAAGATAAATATGATATAGAGAGAATGTTGGATAATGAAGTTTATAGGCAAGCAGGTTATGCTAATTTAATTGAGTATTCTTGGACGATGGATAACCAAAAATTACAACAAGCTCAAGAAAATTTTAATATTTATTTAAATAGAAATATTATTTCAAAAAATGAGAAAAGCCGATGTGGGGAGTTATGTAAAGATTATGTATATCTAAAAGAAGATCATGGATTTTATCTTCCTCTTCATTATGTGGGTATTTTAATGGCATATCATGATCTATTTCAACATCATTATAAAAATTTTAAAAAAACAGAACAGCAGATCACACAACTTCAAGAAATATTTGATTTAACTAATGATTTTGAAATCAAATATATAAAAAAAACAGGTTTAAATTCTTTCCCCTTCGAAGTTGCATCAATTGAAAACTTTAAATTCATTTTTAAAATTGATGACCGAAACATTAAAAATATTTTCTATGCAAAACTAGATGCTTATATAAAATATCGTATTGAAAACAATCTTCTTGATGATCGCATGATAGAAAATATATATGAGATTTTAAGCAAAGAAAGCAGATACTTGTACACAAAGGTTGAATATCTAGGTACACATGAGACTAAAAGCAAAAATGTAACAAGTTATCAATTAGGTCAGCACATTTATAGTTTTATAGTTTCAGACAATAAGTTAAAACTAATTATGGAGCCGATAAATTTTTCTAACCAAAATTCTGGATGATTAATCTTCAAAAATGATGATTGAAATATGAGTTGTAAATTGATTGACTAAAAATTATTGATTATTTTCAAAATAAAGGTGAGGTAAGAGAATTTTATAAGTATTTATTTAATTCGTCATGCGCAAAGTTTAGGTAATGTAAACGGTAAAACTGAGTCACATGCAAGTATTCCCTTAACCGAATATGGACATAAACAGGCGCAAAAACTTGTTGATGTTCTACCACCAGCAAAGCAGATTTTTATCTCTCCATTCCTCCGTACACGTCTAACAGCTGAACCAATTTTATTACGAGATCAGATTACACCTCAAGTTTTGGATATTCAGGAGTTTTCTTACTTATCCGATACGCGATGTAAAAATACCACTTTAGAGGAACGAAAACCTTGGGCAGATGATTATTGGAATCAAGCAGATGTGAACCTAGTGACAAGTGAAGGCGCTGAATCTTTTGCCATTTTTTATCAACGCGTTACGGACTTTATTTCGCACTTGGATTCATTAAAAGCACATTATCAACATGATCATTTACTGGTATTTAGTCATGGTCAGTTTTACAGTTATTGAAAATGCTGGTAGAGCAAAAGCGAGAATTATCATCACAATTAATGCGTGATTTTCGTTATGCATTGTTAAATCATCAATTAGACAATACAGAGTTTTTTATTTTTAAATAAAATGAGATTAACAGCATGAATTTTATAATAAGAAAAATTGCTCTATTGACGGTTTTTATGTTTATACCTGTATCTACATATGCAGATATTGTGGCTTTAAAGTCAGATTTAACTCAATTTGCGCAACCTCTTGAAACACAATGTAAGGGGCTTGAAAGCTATATGCCTCTTAACATGTTGCATAAATTTTTAAATCGTTCAAATTCTGAAAAAATAGATGTGTATTCGATGGATGTTATTTTTGTTTCAGATTTTTTGGGTTATTTAGACGATAAAAATTGTGCTTTAGCGGCTTCTGATTTCACCATATCGGGCGTTAAAATTTTAAATCAATATCGTGACTTATGGGAGAAAGATTTACCAAAAGAGAGAAAAATCCTGAGATATGAAACTTACCTTGCAGCAGGTGATGCAAGTTTGGTGAAATATAAATGGACGCATAAGATTCAATATCTAGATGATGCGCATCAATTTTATACACAGTACTTAGTGACCAATGCAATCAGTCAACAACAAAAACAACAATGTGGGAAAAAATGTGCTGAATACTTAGCTGATGTAAGTAAGGTGCAATACTTTAATCTGTATGATTACGCGTCTATATCCTATGAATATCAAAAACTTTTTCGTGATATCTATGAACAATATTCACAACAAGATGCAAATTTTTCAGACAATCTCGAAAGTCTGAATCTGGTTTTTGAACGTACTGATCAATTTGAAGTGAGTGCAATTAAAACCACAGGATTAAGCTCAGTAAATAAAGAGGTGGCTTCTTTAAATAATTTTGATCGCATTTTTAGTTCTGGTGATAAAAAACTTATAGAACTTTATACAAAACGTTTAGATCAATATCTACAAAATAGAATCCAGCATAAATTATTAGATGCAGAGATGACGGATAAAATTTATCAATTCTTGTTAAAAGAATCGAATGAAAATAATACGATGATTGTACGTACTCAGCAGGAAAGTGCTCTTCAACCTAATCTAAGTTTTCAAATTGGAAAACACCACTATATTTTCAAGGGAACAAGTCATCACGTGCAGTTAACTTTCCAACCCGTTGACTAAAGCATGAGTGAGATTGGCATAAAAACTGCTTGATCATTCACACTAAAAAATGGTGATTGAAAAGTTTAAAGGCGGTTTGAGTGAATAAAACTTATTTACGTGGGCAAGACTTAATAGACCAAATCCAAAATACTCCCTATTCACGAGATCTCATTGGCTATCACGGTGAAGTACCCAAAGTAGCATGGCCAAATCAAGCCCAAATAGCGGTACAGTTTGTTCTTAACTATGAAGAAGGTGCTGAAAACCATATCGAACATGGTGATGCCGGTTCTGAGCAGTTTTTATCTGATATCGTGGGAGCAGCAAGTTTTCCTGACAAGCATATGTCGATGGATTCGATGTATGAATATGGCGCTCGTGCAGGATTCTGGCGTATTCATCATGAGTTTAAAAAGCGTAACTTACCCATGACCATATTTGGAGTGGGTATGGCGCTGGCACGTAATCCATATATTGTGGAAGCCATTCAACAAGCTCATTACGATGTGGTTTCACATGGACAGCGTTGGCTAAATTACCAAAATATAGATATTGAAACGGAACGTCAGCATATTGATCAAGCAATCAGTATTCTAGAAACCCTATTTGGCACTACACCAATGGGTTGGTATACAGGGCGAGATAGCCCAAATACTCGTAAATTATTGGCTGAATTTCCACAGATCAAATATGACTGCGATTACTATGGTGATGATTTGCCATTTTGGACAAGCTTAACCAATTTACAAGGCCAAAGCCGCCCGCACCTGATCATTCCATATACTTTAGAAAGTAATGATATGAAGTTCTGCGCGCCTGCTGGTTTTAACAGTGGCGAGCAATTTTACCAATATTTAAAAGATGCCTTTGATGTGCTTTATGCAGAAGGTGAAAATGAGCCGAAAATGCTATCGATTGGAATGCATTGTCGTATTCTGGGACGTCCCGGTCGTTTTAAAGCATTACAGCGTTTTTTAGATTATATACAGGCACATGAAAAAGTCTGGATCTGTCGTCGCGGTGATATCGCTGAACATTGGTTTAAACACCATCCAGCCGCATAATTGTCGCTATGAGGATGTGGCTTTTAAGGTAAGCACTTTATTTTTAATTGAATGCAGTAAAGCGCGCAGCAAAGTTTATATAAAAGTGTTTGAAAATTTTAGCGAACTCAAGCATAGGTATTATTCGTGAAAATAGAAGAATTTAATCAAGCATCATCAGAAGAGCTTACAACCTTGCTTAAGCATTGTGTGCACATTCAACGTTGGTCAGATGAAATTTTGTCACAACGTCCATTTGTCAACACTCAAGCGTTAATGGATTTTGCAAAAGCACAAGCCTCAACTTGGACATGGTTAGAAATTGCAAATGCATTAGCGACACACCCACGTATCGGTGAAAAAAAGGCTCAGGCAGTGCTGAGTGAAAAAGAGCAAGCATTTTCTCATCAAGAGCAATCAGCAATAAAACAGAGCACTGAAACACAACATGCTTTATTGCAAGGCAATATTGCTTATGAAATGAAATTTGGTCATATTTTTTTAATTCGTGCTATGGGCTTAGATCAGACTGAAATTCTACAAGCACTGAAATATCGTTTATTAAATGATCCTGAAACAGAACAGCGTATTGTTAAACAACAACTTGGTGAAATTGCAATGTTAAGACTCAATCATGAACTGAGTGAAAATGAAAGCTTAAATGATTGATTGCATTAAAATAATGTTTAGAAAGGAAATAACATGATCAGTACCCATATCTTAGACACGCATCTTGGCAAGCCTGCCGTAAATGTTCTGATAAAATTATTGGATAGCCAAGACAATATTGTTGCAGAATCAAGGACCAATGAAGATGGACGGGTTGCAGATTTTAATTTAAGTGGAATTAAAACAGGGGATTATAGTTTGGTTTTTTATACTGCTGAATATTTTGACCGTTTAGCCTTAGCAACGTTTTTCCCAAAAGTTGTGATTCATTTTTCAGTCCTTGATAGGGCACAACATTAT